AAATACAGTAGAGTCCCGATTATCCGAGTTAATGTGGACCACGACTAACTCGGATAACTGAAAAACTCGGTTAAAACGAAGAGTATAAAAAAAGAAAGAAAAAGAGCTGGTATAAATGTAATATATTTAAGAAATATAAAATTTATACGAGTATACCGCATATAATTCCTATTATTATTAAAAAGCTTACTTGAAAAAACTTAAAACCTACTTAGCGAGAATTAAAGAGTTTTTACTTAAAAAAAGTCCTTAATCGTTTTTTGTTTTATATAACTTTGGGGCTTTTCTGCAGCAATGTTTTGCCATTTTTTAGGGATAACAGGAAGGCAGGTGTCGCCTCTTTTTGTTGTTCTATGTATTCAGTAGCATTTTCGACAGCTTAAAGTTCATCTGTGTGAGAGATTTTTATATGTTGATTTTCATCGTCACTGTCTTCATCATTTTCGCTAGGTACATTTTCATTATTGACGATATTAACGATCATTTCATGGGATCAAGTTGTTAGATTTTGTTTTCTCGAGTGTTTGGAAAATAAAATTCAGATTTATTTTTCGGTGGTATTTTTGAAAATAAAAAATAAACTAGAACAAAAAAATCCTTAAAATATTTGATAGCTCGGTTAAAGCGGAAACTCGGATTATCGGGACTCTACTGTATATTTATATATATATATTTATTTATTTTTTTCTTCTTCTTCTTGGATTTCCTCTTTTTTACTTTCTGACTACTCTCATCCCTGAAAAAAGTAAAAATTGACTCAGCGTAATTGACAATATGCTAATTTACATGTTGCTGTCAAGGTATATGTCTCTAATTTTGGACAATGTGTCCCTTATCATTTTCATTTTTGAGAACTGTGCTTGAGATTAAGAGTGGTATTTTTAAACATTCTGGCTTTATTTACTGTATAGTACTGCATAATTTTGTGCTATCTTTGAATACTCATAAATTAATCATTTTTGAAGGTAATATTTTGTACCCATAATGAAACATTTTGTATTTACCATTTTTATTGTTTTTCTCTTAAATTATAGGTGTTTCTTCTTTTGTTCCTCAGCTTATATTTTGCTTCCTATTGTTTTATATTGTTGTTTAGAAAGAGAAAGAATGACTTGTTTTCAGGTATGTTAAAATTTTTAAATAGAATTTTGTTGTTGTTGCATTAAATGCTTTCTTATTCTTTTAAATCATTCTTCTGAAAGCTCGTGCAGCTTTAATCGTTCAGTTCAAATTATAAGTATATGTTAGCTACTGCAATATTGAATTGATTATTAATATTGATTATTAATAATATATACACATTTGCGAAAAAGTTCAGTCTGCATGTAAAAGCATGATCAAAAATGTTTTCTCTGTGGGGAATATGATTTTCTGCATGCAGTTGTGGTTGTTCCTCGTCACACTAGAGCTGCACAATGGGCTATTGGCGACGGTCTGGGAAGCATCCCCGAGGATGATCCGAAGACATGCCATCACAATTTTGATCCTCTGCAGAGGGGATGGCACCCTTGCTTCGGTAGCCCAACGACCTGAACGCGAAGTTGAGCACTTTACGGTAGAACAGTTTAACGAGGACCAATGCTTCTGCATACAAGGATAGACCATCGGCGATCAAAATGGGCTACAGATGGCGCTTAGCAGAACTCTTTATCTATGGCAACACTCGATATGCTTTCACCATTAGTGTGTGGATAATCATAGGAGTAGGAAGTTTCTATCATGATTTTCAAACTAAGTGAAAATTTTTAAGCTTAGAAATTATATGGATCTCAAAACTGCATTAAATATAGTGCTTAATTTGAGCATTGTGGAAATTTTAAAATATATTCTTGATAATCTAAGCATAAAAAATGTTATGGAAAAAGGAAATATTCTAGTACATTCCCATATATCTGAGTAGAGGAGGAGAGAGAAGAAAGGGGGCTTTAGACATGAAACCAGTCTTCTCTCCAGATGGAGTATTCGAGTGTTGCGTTCGTGAATAGTTAAAATAAATAAATCAATAAAAGGACAATTTTTTAACCAGGAAATAAAATTTCTATACATGAATTTTTTTGTTTTTTTTGTTGTCTAAATGGACAACTCTAGGCAATAGATAAAGGTTGTGAGCTGATGTGCATAGTTTGTTACAACACCAATCTCTTTATAGCAATTTCATTATATATAGCAATATTATATTTATAAGAATATTAGATTATGTTTAAAAGATTTAAATGTTAAGTAGGATTTTGAAATACGCTGTATTTAAAAATGAAATTTGAGAGAGTAGATTAATTTTAATATTAAAATATGTTGAAATCAACTATATGAGATCAATAACACTGTTTATAAAATCAAGCTTTGGTCAAGCATATGTTTTAAAAATAAATAAAAATCATTCATTTTCCTGTTTGAGTGAATAGAATTTTCTTTTCAAGTTTTGAAAGAATGGAAGCTTTGAGATAAAAATGTCCTCTTTCTGCCACCAATGTACAAAGGTATACACATCATCCAGTCGTGCCCTAGCACCTAATTTCGCTTGTTTTTAAATATGCCATCTAAAATTTTCTATTTTAAATCAAGCGTAAGTTCTATGCAGGAAACTAGATTTTTGTGTGATATTTATAAAAAATTTTGGTCGTAAAATGCAAATTCATGTTCAACACCCTGAAAAACAAATGTACAAAAATTGAAAACTCCCATAAATTTTTCTAGGAAAAATTTTCTAATGGTTAGCCTAATATCGAATGTGACTATAATAGGAGGCAGGTTCTGTTTATGTTAATCGTTATTACACACACAACTTAACGAGATTTTGTATTAAATGATCACTAAAGGTGAAGTATGCAAAATTTATTTATGGTGCTTATGAAACCTCATCAGAATGCTAATCTGAGTAATTTCAGAAGGTCATTTTAAGATAAATGTAGTAAATTCGAAAAAGCATAAAATCTTTCATAATTTAAAAGAATGCTTATTGTTGGTGCCTGTTTAGCAGGAGCCATAGTTGTGATGATAGCAGAACTCAGTGGTTTTTCAAAAACAGTCATATCAAAGGTTTTAATTAGTTTGAAATAGAAACCATAGTTGTTATAGAAATCGTGATCGGCGACATTTCTGACAAATTGTAATTCTAATTGACGACTAGTGCGGCAGAACGGCAGGAATGGGATTTTACTGTACTTCAGTTTATAAAAACCTTCAGCAAAGGTTCTTAACTGATTTTAGCATAAACCTGGTAAGAAAAATTTCAGAGAATGGGAAAGTGTAGTTGGATGCCTGAGAGAAAACCACTCATTCCTGTCTGAAATACCAGAATTCAGTTGCAATGCTGTTGAGAAAGATGTCACTGGATATCTAAGGGCTGTGGACAGATGAAACATGCTACTCCTTGTTTTACACTCATGGGAAAGGTTGAATTGGGATATGAACCCCACAAAGATATGAACCAATCTTGCCTTGTGTGTACTGTACAAGGGTCTGGTGATAGTATCACGATGTGGGTAATTCTTAGCATGGGTGTGGTGTCCTTGCGTCTCTTGAGGTTCACCAAAAAATTATACAATACCTGAATATGTTGAATTATCAAATGCATTCTACAATGTTAATTTTTTACTCTGAAAGTGATGGATAGTAATGGAACTATACATTATACCAAAAGTGTAAAATTGGTTCAATGAACTTCAGTCTGAGTTCCAACACCTTCCCTGACCACTCAATAGGAAATATTTGGGATATGGTGGATATCTGACTGCAATTTCTTCTTTCATCTAATTTACAAGATCTTAAGTCAGCGTAACCAATGCATGGTATTCTCTGGGCATAAATGCAGTCTTGAAACTTGTAGACTTGTTCACACAAATACAGGCTATCATTTGTGCAAAAGGAGGTGCAATAAAATAGTAACCAAATATTTCTAATTCATTGGTCAATGTGTGTAGTTTTTAATAGTTTAGAAGTTTATTTGGATGTTGGATTGTTTAATTTGAATAATTTACACTAATATTTGGCTTTTGCTTATTATACAGGTACTTATGAAGATGCTATTGCATATAGAATATCGTGAGTATTCTTGATTTAACTGTATTTTTGACAGATTGAAATTAAAATAATGCTTGTTGAATTTTTTATTGCTTTTAATATTAAAATTGTATAATATTAAAATTAGTATTGTTTATATTTGAATATGCATGTGAAGTAATAAGTTAAAATAAATTAATACTTTTCATTGTAAGATATACATTCTTTTGCATCAATTTTATCCAAATTTTGAATTAATATTTTAACTTGTTTAAAACGGGGTTTGGATAAAATCTAAAGAAATGGAAGAAAGAAATAGTAAAAACCAACAGAAAACAAAAGAGATGCTAAGAGTTATTAAAGTATATTACCCATCTAAAGGAAAGAAATTCAAAACATAGTTACTGATAATTATTGAAATAAATTAAATATAGAAACTAAAGTAGATGACTTAGTGTGGAGAATAAGTTAGTTTTGTAGTTCAGGTTAGTGTAGGTATTTAGATTTAGAGTTGATGATTTTTGAAACTTAAGGATTCTATGGGGTTACTGTTTTTTTTTAAAAAAAAATAAATTCTTCACATACTAATTATATACTTCATACTAATTCTGTAGATTAACATATGCATACTTTTCTTAAAATAAATTCTATACATTATTTTTAAAATTATAGTGTAACACATTAATTTATAATTATCATTACTTTAAAATAGCATAATATAAATAGTAAGCTCTCAAGATTGATAACACACATAAATCACAGCACTCGGATAAGGAGGTAAAAAATTTGACTATATTGCCTCAAATCTGTCAATTAACTTGTAATCTATGTTAATTCATAAATTAGATTAAATTACTCTGATCTTATTCATAGGATTTAAAAAACCTGAAATTTATATTAATAGTGAATAAAATAATATTTTTCACTAATTATGTTTTGGCTTTATTTTATAAAGAGAAACATCAATCTTTCCAAAGGGACTGTTTTGAAATTGTATTGTTTTCTATTCTAATAAAAAGCTGTAATAAAGCATTAGTTGCTATTTTTGCTATAGCACAATTGAAACAAATATATACAAAAAAAAATTGAGATGTGCTTTGGCTTGGGAAGTTTAAAATAATATAAGTAAATTTTTTCATGCCTAAATTAAGGATGGAAATTGCTGTTGTATAACCCTACGTTCTTTTAGCATAGTTTTAGTAGTTTGTATATGTTGAAAAATGTGAAAAGTAAATTGATTGAAATTTTAAGTACAATTGGATAAATTTTTTATTTAATTTCTTAATTAAAATTTTAATATCTTATGCTCTGTAAAATATATTCATTAGAAGAATTCATTTGAAAAATTGTAAACTGAGGTAGTGTACTGTACTTTTGACATATTTATGGATGGTCATAAAATGTGTTGATGTTTTTTTTGCTGTACTATTTTCCATTTAATTTCTAAAATATTGATTTTTTAGATTGTGGATTTCTACATTTTCATTTACCATATCAATTGGTGCTGCCTTACTTCATCCTATTTCAATTGTAACTAATGAAATTCTTCTGCGATATCCTAACAGTTACTATGTGCAATGGTTAAACAGCTCATTAATTCAGGGTTGGTCACTTTTTTCAGTTCTCTAAAAACATTATTGCTTCAGAATATTTGTTTATTTAACTGATTTTACTTATTTTTTTTTTAAATTTCTGTCCTATTTTACAGTAGTCTCTTATTGTATCACCTTGTTTTAGGACTGGAAAAAGTCTTATGTTTCTAAAAATGCTTTGTATAAGGAAGTTCATTGTAAAATAACAAAACCACATGCAATGTGCACATATATTTGATCAGCATTATTAATAAAATAACAATGAACAATCATACTTTTATTGTTACTTTGTTCATATGCAGTCTTCAGAAAAGATTAATATTTATTGGTACCCATAGAAGTAGTCAACACATCAGGTGAATTCTTACCCTTTAAATTTCAATAAATTCTAGAAAATACTAATTATTTTTATTTCTTTTAAGACAGGCAGCACTGTTTAAAGGAACACTATTTGTTCCAGCCAATTATATTTAAATAAGTAAATTATTTGATTATAAGGGGAATGCATTAATCAATCTTAAATGCTCTTAATTTACGAAATTTCACTATGTTAATACATAGTATGTTTTAAGGAAATAAACTCATTTTAATGATCAATAAACATTTATAGTTAGAGCTGTTAGTGTTAATGTCATTAAATATAAAAAGATTTAAATTGATATAAAAATGAATCAATGCTAAGCAAAAGTATAATCTGCTCATTATGATACAATTTCATTTCCTTTGGAAGATATTTTTGATTGAAGACTGTTTTAGCACATATTTAACCAAAAGTTTTTTACCTTTTTTTCAAGTAATATAGTACATTATAGACTCCTCCGCTGATTTCAAAATTACTTATATTAACTATCAAATTGTACAGTGGGCCAAAAAAAAAGAAAGAATGAACCACCCTGAATATTTTTTGATCTAATGATTGGATCTTCACGTTCAAGGACTCAATCTGAATGGTTTGAGGAAGTGACCTCAAATATGCTAATTGATTAATACAGGCAATATTTTAAGTTACTTAATCAGGCACAAAAACATACTTTCTCTGAATAAACATACTTTTTTTTAAAAAACAGATTCGGATTTTTGACCCTCAAAATCTAAGGAGTATGTATAATATGAAATATAGTACCCATAGTTTGGTCAGGAGAGGGATCCAAAAGTTGAACCCCTTAATGTTAATTCTACTCTTTGCTTATTTGCGTAAACGAATAGAAAATTTTTTGCACATAATTATATAATTAATTTATCCAATGATAATTCCATGTAAAAAATTAATTTTAGTAAATATTTATTATTTTTTATTATATTAGTAAATAATAGTTGAGAAAATTTTGAATTGTAAATTTTGAAATTTTTTGCACAATTTTTAAGTATGTAATTTTACATGACAAAATGCAAAATTTGAACGAAATCGGTTGAATACTTCCTGAGATATCTAATTTTGAAGATGCGACTTCTTTAAAATTTGATTTCGCAGGAACTATTCGTTTGATTTTGCTAAAATTTTGCATTTTACCGTATAAAATTGCACTTTAAAATGATGTAAGAAATTGTATATTTCACAATTCAAATATTTTTCGATTATTAATTAATAAAATAATAAAAATGATAAATATTTAGTAAAATTTATTTTTTGCATTGAATTATCTTTGGATAAACGAATTCTATAACTGTGTGCAAAAATGTTTCAATTGGCCTGAAAAGTTTTCAAGATATGGTAAAATATACAAAAAATAAAATTAACATTTAGGAGTTCCAACTCAGGATCGATCTCTTGACCATATTTCCCAGATTGCGGCTGTATTTTAAGGACCAGAAACACAAATTTTTGAAAAAAGGGCATTTTTTTTCAAAGAAAGTACGTTTATATGTCTGATTTCGTGAGTTAAAATATCGTCTGCAATAATTTTTTAGAATATTTGAAATTATCCCTTCGAATCATTAAGAATAAGTCCTAGAACGTGAAGATACGGTCATTAGATCAAAAATTACAGGGTAGTCTGTTTTTCATTTTGTGCACTGTACATCTCATTAATTTTGGCTGATTGGGGAGGATCATCTTAGTCCTTTTTCTCATTTTCTGCTTGTACATCTTCTTTGGAACTTGTCAAGATAATAATTTCTTTTGATTCTTTTTCATCCAATTTTATGAATTATTTCCTATCATTTTCTGTTGTATTCAAATTTTCAAAATCGGGATTCAAAATATCTTCTAAGTCGTACATTACTGTTCCATCACTTCAGATTTCTTACAATGTGTAAAACTATGCTTTTATTTTTTTAAGCATTTGGTGACCACCTCTATTGAAACGCTATCCCATGCTCATTTTGAAAAGTGCATTGCTGTCAAGAGGGTTATTTTTCACAAACCAACAGTAGTAATTCTTCTGGTGAAGCTTCTTTCAGAAGATATGAGACTTCTTGAATCACTTGCTACCTATAACAGGCTTTAAAAGAGTAGAAGATTCCTTGAGTGAGAGGTTGAATTTTGAAAGTTGTGTTCATGGGAAAAAATCGTAGATTACTTTTGGTTAAAGCAATAAAGTCACCAATTTTATGGCTTGAAACATTGTAGATTACTTTCTGTTAAAGCAATAAAGTCACCAATTTTATGGCTTGAAACATTGTAGATTACTTTCGGTTAAAGCAATAAAGTCACCAATTTTATGGCTTGAAACATTGTCTGGAAATAAAACTATTTTTTTATTCCGCTGATTCAAATCTATATCTTAATTTTCTAACAATTAACAAAAAAAAGTTTCACATGATTCATGAATTTTGAAGGAAATCTGAATCAGAAATTTTTTTATGTCTTTTAAATACCTCAGCTTTTTGCTCTTTTCAATCATTAAGTTCAATCTTGAATTTATCTGTCCCTACTTTATTTACAAAAAATAATTAAAGTATCTCTCACTTCATTTTTTTTATAGCCCTGGACTTTTTCTCTTTGTCTGGCTAATCAAATCAAATTTCAAAATCAAGTCGAGTCAAATTTTGTGCTTTAATTAAATCTAAATTTCCTTCTTGAAAGGCTTTTAACAACACAGAGATTTCCGTCAAAATATCCATCATGAGGGCCAGATTTTTTATGAAGTTTTTGTTTTCTAGACATTTTTGCATGTCTAAGAATTTTTTATTTAATTTGAAGAACAAATACCGAAATGCATATGAGCACCAAACTGCAGTTGTTGACTTTAAACTGCATGCTGCTAATTGTAGCCAATTTTAATGATTTCATTTCCAAACTGCTCTCAGCTTTTGTAAGTTCAATCTGAATTTTGTTTGATTGATGAAAAATTGTGTAAATTTTTTAAATAAAAAATTATTAATTTCTTTGAGTGAATTATCTAAAACACGCTGAATGTCATGATTTAAACAATACCAGACTTTAATGTCCGGAAAATTTGAGCACACCAGAACAAAACAAAATACTTCATCAGAACGAAATGCAATTAGATTTTATTTTGAATAATTGTTTTTAAATCCTACACTGTTTAGAGCTATTACATTAGATCTTCAAAAATTGATTCAGAATCTTGCCTTTGAGGTACATGGAAAAGAGAGCACTGGAAAAAAGCACACAGAAAAAGAGCTCCGTAAAAAAAGAGCACTGGAAAAAAATCACTTTTCAATATATATCAGTACTAAACTAGATTAATCAGATTAAGTATAATACATTTGTTTAAGTATAAAATGTCTTTGTAAATAAGAGCATAGAGAAAGACAGATTGTGCACAACTATTTATGCACACAGTGTATAAATAGGTTTTAAAATTTTTTCTTATCAGAGCAATTAGTTATGCGAATTAGGAGGTTCACCGCATGTCTTGACCACGAAACAAGTCACTTTGTACATTTCCTGATTCTAAATGGTGTGTGAGTGAATTTTGTCAAAGAAGGGTAAAATCCTCATTTACTACAAAGAATACTGTATATTTCTAAATATCAGCCCAATGTATGCTTGTTATTTGGAAATTCATTCAAAATTAAAAACTCCTATGTAAGCTGATGTAAAAAATATACATGCTTGGAAATGAAAATGTACCCACTCTCTATTTGGCAACCAATTCAGATGAGCTACTCGGATTAGCGTCATATTATCAGTCCATCCTGTTTTGTTTTGCCCTTTCATCCTTCAGGCTTTTCACTTACTATTAGGATTGACATCAGCAGCTGTTCAACCTGGCAGAAAGCCAAAGTGAACAGCTGCTCCTTAATTTAGGAATAATTTTTTGGGCTCATGATAAAGTTATCATATATTTTCTTACTATCTTCAAGCTGAATTATTAACAGAAAACTTTTTGATTCAATTGTTAAACACATAATCTTGCTTGTCATTTATCTATGTGAATTTTTACCTTCCTCTTCAGGAAGTTTTGTCTTTGATCATCAGGATTTTTAGCTTTATATCTTTTTAGTTCAATTCTATTGAGTGCATATATTTTTTGCATTTTTTAAAATGAAAAGCAGAGTGTAGTAGTATGATAGTTACTGGGAGAGTGTAGTATGATAGCTACAAAAATTGTAAATCAGTCCCTAAGAAAGATGGAATAACAATAGTGACAAAATGATAAGTGGCAGATAAAATACAAAAAAAGAATAAAGAAAGAGAAAAAAGGAATATATGAAGAAGGGTAAATAATGATGAAAAAGAAGCACAGAAATTCTGACCATAACATTTTAATATTTAATAAAATTTGTATGTTCTAGATGCTATTGATTATCATATTCCATTTCAAAGGAAAAGTTTAAAATTGATATAGAAAACAATTGAAAATTTCTTGCTCTAACATTAATATTTATTTTCTTATTACAACTTTATAATAAAGTTTGGTACAATAAAGCAGTTTTCATCAACGGAAGACTGTTTGAATTTTGGTGCATTATCCACATCAGTTACTCACATGCATTGTTCAATTTTTCCTTTTTTGAAAGTTACAAATAATGTGCTAAATATGTTGAATGTTAAAAGCCTACAATCAAATCGACTCAAATGGTTACCTAGAATGATTCATTGACATTTCTTTTACTTTACTATTAAGATTCAGAAAAATATATAAGGGAATTTTTATTTTATTCAAACCTGTTAATACTAGTAAAATTTAAATGTGATTTTTGAGTTTTATTGAATACATATTGTTTTAGTAAAAATTGTTTAACTTGTAAAATATTATACTCTACTCATATTGTTTCTAATTTTAATGACTGAGGTTATATCAGTACTGTTAATTACTTTCATCGAAAACTTTATACGAGGTATATCCACAAAGTAAGTTCCGTTTGGTTATATAAAAAAACGTGTACAGATACAGAAAAAAATATTTATTGTACAAAAATCTACAACTGTGAAACTAATTTTCTTCATAGCTTCCGAAATTTTGTAGGCACTTGTCATAGCGTGGCACAAGTTTTTGTATGCCTTCTTCATAGAAGGTTGCCGCCTGTGTTTTCAACCATGTGGTAACATGTTCTTTCAGCTTGTCATCATTGTTGAAGTGTTGACCACCAAGGAAAGATTTTAGGTGTAAGAAGAAATGAAAGTCACTAGGAGCGAGGTCAGGGCTGTACGGAGGACGATCAAACACGTCCCAGTCAAATTCCCGTAGGAGTTCTTTTGTCACGTTCGCAGTGTGAGGTCGGACATTATCGTGTAAAAAAGCAACACCTTTTGACAGTAATCCTCGGCCCTTGTTCTGTATTGAGCGGCACAATTTCTTAATAGTCTTAATAGTAGCAGTAATTGTTTGTTGCATTGATTGTTTGGCCTCGTGGTAAGAAATTAATCAGCAAAATGTCTTTTCTGTCCCAAAAAACGGTGCACATGAGTTTTCGAGGTGTCAAGATTTGCCTAGGCTTAACTTTCGTTAGGGACGAAGTGTGCCTCCATTCCATTGATTGCCGCTTAGTTTCTGGGGTGTCGTAAGATACCCAAGTTTCGTCCCCAGTGACTATCCGAGAAAGAAAATCATCACCGTCTTCATTGTAGCGTGTCAAATACTGAAGTGCACTGCCCATCCGTTGTTTTTTTGTGTTGTTCAATAAGAATTTTGGGTACCCAATGTGAGCAAAGTTTTCGAAATTTCAGTTTTCAGTAATAATTTCATGAATTAGTGATCGTGAGATTTGCGGAAATTCCGTAACGAGAACACTAATTGTAAACTTACGGTTTTGCTTAAGCTTCTCTTCAACTGTGTGAACCAGTTCATGAGTAACCAAAGACGGGCGTCCACATCGTTCTTCATCGTGGACTTGATCACGTCCTTCATTGAACTGTCTGACCCATCTTCTAACCATTAAATCACTCATAGCAGTTTGTCCGTAAACCTCGCAGATTTGCCGATTAATTTCGCATGGTTTAACTTTCTTTGCTTTTAGAAAACGAATGACAGATCTGATTTCACAAGCGGCGGCATTTTAAATTTAGGCTGACATCATAAGGAAGTACTTTAAAGAACGCATCGGCAGCAGCGATCTGAAAATGGCGTACATTTCTTCTGCTTGAGTCAGAGTAACTGGCGTGCATGCTAGGAACTGCGATCGCAGCGATGCCGCGGATAGAAGTAGAAACGGAACTTACTTTGTGGATGTACCTCGTATTTAAAAAATATGAAAGTGGCATTTTTTCTAAGCATTTTAAAATTTATTTCTGCTTACAGGTTTATGGAGTCTTGTATTTCTTTTTTCTAATGTCGCCTTGTTTTTACTTTTACCATTTGCACATTTGTTTGTTGAATCCGAAGGGCTTCCTGGATCTTCTCGAGTAAGTTGTTAAATTATTATACTTGTATCGCTAAATAAAATAAAAATATGTACTTGATGACAGTTTTTATTACCAGGTTTAAAGTTCTTTTTATAGCATTTATTTGATTGAAAGCTTTTTAGCATCAAACTTTTGAAAGTTGAGGTTTTTACAAGTATTATAAACATTAAAAAAATCATGATAAATTGATTTCTTATCCTTTTTGTCATTTTTTTAATCATTATCTTTTGGTTGATATATTTTTAAAGCATATTTTGCTTAAAATTAAGATTTTTTCTAATTCTTTGAATAAGATGCCACCCAATATCTTTTTAGCTTATAATTTATCATTTCAAAATCACATTTGAAAACTGTTATTTACCGTCAAATTTCAATGTCTTAAACTTGAAATAAGAAAGGAAAAAGTATGAATTATCAAAAATCCAAATGTAGTGAAACCAATTAAAAAGCTTTTATGAAAAATAAAAATAAAATAGCAAAAGTTTGTTTTAAGTTTGGTATGCTGAAGTTGTTTACTTTATAAGTAGCATTGTTACGCTGAAGCTCTAGATATGTTATAAATGGCCCATGTTAAGTAATACTTTTTGAAATTTAAATATCAATAAAGAATGTACAAACTAAAACTAATTTACCTAAATTCTTTTTATTTTTCATAATAAAGGCAAAAAGTTCTAAAACCATCAAGTGTAGTTCCAAAATTTCTTTTTCATTGTAGAAATAAGTGACAGTATATAAATCGTATATTTTTGCGAAACCTATATTTTTATGACAAGGTAAAAAAGATCATATCTGAAAATTTTGTTGATAAACTGAAGGATGATGTGCATATATGTTTTTTGTCTTAAAAGATGTGTGAGGTATGCTATTTTTTTTATCTAAACTTGTTACGGCATTTTTATTAACACAATCAAGTTTCTTTAAAGCGCGAATTTTCTGTAAACGAACAAATTATTACTAATGAAAGGTTAAAAAGGAGTTAAAGCTGAGTAGTATATCTAAGAATTAGTCAATGTTTGGTTTTAAAAAAAAACAGTCAGTGTGAAAGTTATAAATAAGACCATAAAGAAACCTACAGCAATATAAAGCAGAAGAGGAAGAGATACAATAAAAAAAAAAAAAACAAGGAGAAAAATTAAGAGTCTAAGCAAAGTCAGCGAACGTAACTTCCTAACTAGCGAAATATATTAAAATTTTTTAAGGCTTTTCTTCAGCTCAGGCTATTATTAAAGAATGAAACCTGAGATTAAAACAATGATATCCCATCAAGGACTTATTGATGCTGTCAATTAAAAAATTAGAAGCTTTACAAAAGGAATCTAAAAACAGTGCTGCATAATTTTTTTGAAACAAAATGTAAATTTCAATAATATGATATAAATTGAAATCCTTTACTTTTATTTTGATTACTAAATAGTGAAGCAACATTATGAATTGTAATATAAATGGTCACCATTTAGCAATAGAAAAGTATATTTATCATTTTTTAATGTTTTTATTATGTTGATGCATTATATTCCTGATAGCAAAGCTCAAATATGACATTTAGGTAGAACACTGAGAGTTTCTCCTTTTCCTTCCTGTACTTAATTACTTTACCACCAAACGTTTTGCTTGTTTAAAATATATTTTAAAATTTCACTATGCTCACTCTAAGCATCAACCATGTTTAATGCAGTTTGGAGTTCCAAGTAGTATTCAGATGTGAAATATTTTATTCAGTTTCAAAATCAAGATGAAAAGTAGCTTATGTCCTACATTTATACTTATCCACATTCTTATGCTGAAAGCATGCTAGTAGTTGCCATAGATAGACGCCCGGTGGCTGAGTGGTAGCGCTTCGCACTCCCGTGCCACAGGTCCTAGGTTCGATCCTTGGGCCGGGCAAGGTTGACTTGAAAATGAACATTACTTTTCAGTCCCCTCGTTAACACATGCGTAGTGCCACCTACCATGTGTGTAGTGCTCAGTGACGTCATCATGCTAACCCCTCCATTGTTATTTCATCCCATTGAAAGAAACAGCTGACAAGTTTACAGAAGAAGCGAATGAAAGACTTAAAGAAGCCCTTAGGCTAACAGTATGCAAGGAATTAGACTTGCTCAAGGCATGATTGAAGGTAGTCTGCAATTACGACAAAAAGAAAAAGAGCATGGAACTAAATTGTTAATAAAAGAAAGCAAACTCTTATACAATCATTTATGTCCAAAAAGCCTAAAAATTTAAATTTTCATTAGATTTAATAAAGCACTTGTTATTTTTTCTCTCTGAGGGGCAGTTTTGTTCTTTTTAATTGTTTTTTCTTCTATTAACCTTAATATTTTATTGTAATTAGACTTTTATTTAGGTACCTATTTTCTAATATGTATACCTTTTATATTTGTACAAACTTTTTTTTAATTGGAGCATAGTTAGGACTAGGCGATAAATCGATGTATCGCAAAATATCAATTTAACAGATATATTGGTAGGCCGGTATAGTGACTTTCGTTTTAGGCGATGCAGCAGAAATCTGATTTAAGCCGCCGGTATAAGACTACAATCGCAGTTTAACGATTTAATATGCAAGGATCCTTGACTACCCTAATGCTGTTCCCGCACTGGCGAAGACAATTTTGATTTTGTCTGGCTGCAGAGATGTAGATAGCGTTTAGCTAGCTGTAAGGACGATGTTAGTTTTGTGGTGTTGAATGACAAAGAGCGAATTGAATCAGAACTCCAGGTTTCATGCCTGGATCAGTGTTGTAATATAGAATGCAATGCATAGTTTCTTTATGTTAATTTTTTTCTTTGGGATTTTGCGTTTTTTGAAGATTATTTTCAATGGGACTTAAGTCATTTTGCGATCATTGTGCATTTTATTTCGTCGGGAATAATTGTAGGGTTTCTTGTAAATTATTTTCAGTGAGACATTTGCTACTTAGCGATCGTTTCGCTCTGCATTATTTCATACCATTTTTTTTTCTATCTGGATTTAACGATTCTTGTCAATTATTTTTAGTAGACCTACTGTTACTTTGCGATTGCTAAGCATTCGCGGTTATCTTAAATTTTTGTTCTGAACTCAATTGATCAATGAAAAGAAAATATAAATAAAGAAAAGTTTCTTCATTGATTTTTTTCAATTATTGTTTTTCATTTTAAGCGATACAATTTAATAGGGGTATTTTGTATTTAACTTTGTTTTAAAAAGTTAGTTTTTTAAAATTTCTTTAATGTAGATAAGTATAATAATTCGATTATTTTTAAACCAATAAATGTTCAGTCGTTTTTAATTATAAAAAAAATTAAAACAAAGCTTACCTTTATTTAATGTGCTTTTACTTTTGAGAAACTGAAAACAAAGATTTAAAAAATTTGGCTATTAGTTAAAGCAAATTAAAAAAAAAAATTAAATAAAGAGTTTAGTAATGTGTTGATGCTTTTTTATTATTTAACATTAGTACTTAAAGTATTTTTTTAAAATTTTTATTAAAATTCTTTCAATACTTGTTTGTTTTATAATTTGTTAGATAGTTAGTGTCATTTTTAAACAAATAAATCTTTAGTCGATTTTATTTTCAAAAAAGAAAATAATAATAAAGTAAAAATATTTTTGCATTTATTAAGTACAGAATTTGACCATTAGTTAATACTACTTTTTATTTTTTTAAATAATTAACTAAAAAAGGGTGTAATGATGTTTCAAAAGCATATTTTTTTTTTAACAAATAATTAAAAAAAATATTTTTTTTTCTAAAGTGAACATTTCTTTGGTTTGTTTTCTACTTTTGCTTTTTTTTCTTTTAGTTTTTAATGCATGTATGTAAAATATTTTGTTACAGTATTATTATTTTTAAACCAATAAATCTTAAATCATTTTTAATTTAAGAAAAATGAAATAAAGCTTGGGTTTGCTTTTACTTTGACTTCTTTATTATTTTAATTGAAAAAAGCAATGATATTGATGTCATAGTGGAATATGTTTAGAATTAATTTTTTCTTTTGTAATAGGTTTATTCTTTTTTATTTATTTTTGATTGATGTAAAGATTTGCCATAGATAATTTTTGAACATATGCTAAATCGCGATACATCGCTATATCGTGATGTCTAGCGCACGATGTATCACGATTTTAAATTTCTGACATCACCCAGTCCTAATCATAGTATATGACAATTAAGCTGTAATTTTAGTTATTTGGTTACTATTTTTGATAAATTTTTGTCCCTGTTCAGGCAACTACTTTCGTAGTTTTAGGCAACTAGTTTATTGCTTGAAGCTACTAAAAGCAACTATTTTTGTTCAATTTTTGCTGTGGCTACCCTGTGAGTACCAAGCATGCTTGGGAACTAAACACTGGGGGATCTGCGTTCGGCTGACCACCTGACCGAAGCATTTGCTCCAGCACTCCAGAGTCCAAGGTCAAGGTAACTGAGATGGGCACAGTAGGCCTTGACCCTCTATGGGCTGTTGCGCCACTGATTTTAGTTGCCATAGATAAACAATTCAGCTAAGAATCATCTATAAGTCATTACAATTGCAAATGGTTACTTAACATGCAATCTGTATTTTTATTTAAATAAAATTTTTTGTCCTACATTTCCCCCCTAAAAGTTCTTAGATATTTTCCTGAAAACCCTATATTTTTTGAATTGGTCACTTCTACCCCTGCACAAAGTAAAGGTATTTTTTTTTATATCTAAAATTTTTTTCATGTCTGTATTACATATGTATTAGTATGATTTTTCTGATTGTATTATTTTATTATTCAGTGTTCCACATTTCAGGGTATTATGTCAAGAGTTAATGAAGTTCTTCTTGTTCTTGGCTTAATGGGCTTGCTTGTAATGGGCTTTACATACATAATGTCTGCAATTCTTAGTGATGGCCAGTACAGTATTGCATCAATTTTCAGTTAGTAAAAATTTTTTCATTGATTAAATTATTTAAAATAGCTTGTATTCAGGTATAGTAAGTTTCTCCTATAGTTGAAAAATTTTGGAAAAACCACCGTGAAAGAACTAAGTTTCTTCCAGCCCAAGTAGAAGAAATGTAAGAAACTCTTTTTAAAAATGAATTATCAAATACTTAATAAAGTTTTTTAATTTTATAATAGCATTGTAGTTCAAATATTAGTATTAATTTCCAAGCCATTTAGTTAATCATTTTTAGATTAGTGAAAATACAATGCAAAAATTGGAAAGAAAAGTAAGTTTAAATGAATTAAAACAACCATAGTTTCTTTCAATGTTTTACATAAAGGATTACAGTAGAATTTAAAAATGAGAAGTTTTATATAGAACTTTAAAAATATCACAATCAAATTGTACATATGCTTTACTACAAATTAATAATGCATAATGATTTGTTTGCAATAAATATTTACAAAATATTTTTAACCATTTTTGTTAGAAATTTTAGTAGTTTTATTTATAATATTGTTTTTTAATAATATTAAACATTACTAATAATACATTTTTCTAAGTTTTGATTGGTTGGTAAAAAAAAAAAAATTAGATTTTTTTTCTTTATTCAATATTTGTCCTTATTTTTAACTTTTTGTCCTGATAGTCCTAATTCTTGTGTGTGTTCAGAAAATACCATTTTCTAAATGCCTAATTAATAGTTTAAAAAATAGATTTGAAGAATCGAAAGATTTGAATTTTTGATCCAATATCTTTATATTAATTAACAATGCTAGTAGAAATTACAAATTTCAATAGTTTCGATTTAGGAACTGTTTACTGATTATATGCTTGTGTAGTTTTGTATTTTCGCAATTATTGATTTATCTCTTTCATGTAGTGCACAGTGCGCAAAAAAATAAATGAACTACCCTGAATAACTTTTGATCTAATGATCCGATCTTCACGTTCTAAGACTCAATGTTAATGGTTTGAAATGGTGACCTCAAATATATTAGTTAATAATTATATATAATTATAGATAATAATTAATTATAGATATTTTAAGTTACAAAATGATGCAAGAACTTATTTTCTCTGAATAAGCATACCTTTTTTCGACAGATTCGGATTTCTGACTCCCAGAATATAGGGGCAATCTGCGAAATTTGGCTTCAATAAGTGGGTCCAGAGAGTGCTTCAAAGTTTGGACCCCTTAATGTTAATTTTACTTTTTGTGTATTTCGCTATATTTAAAAAAATAAGCAGATTGAAAGCATTTTGCTTATAATTATAAAATTTGTTTATCCAAAGACAATTTCAAACCAAAAATAACTTTCCGTAAATTTTTATTATTTTACTTAAAAGAAGTCGAAATTTTTTTGAATCGTTAAGTATACAAATTTTTTCATAATTTAAAAGAATGTAATTTCACATGATAAAATACAAAATTTGAGCAAAATCGGTTGAGTAGTTCCTGAGAAATTAAATTTCAAAAAATTCAGATATTTAAAATATAATTTCTCAGGAACTATTCAGACAATTTTGCTCAAATTCTGTAGTTTGCAATGTAAAATTATGTTCTTTAAAATAATGCAAAAATGTATGTACCTTACAATTCGAAATTTTTCCAACCTTTATTAAATAAACAACCTTTAGATAAACAAATTTTATATTTGTGTGTAAAATTTTTTTAATTCGTTTAAAATTTCTTGAGATATAGCGAAATACGCAAAAGCAAAATTCATTGCTCATCTTTCAAATTTTTAAATACTTGTAAAATTTGCAAAACATTTAGCTAAACACAATTAAATTGATACAAATAAGTGAATAAAATGAAATAAAAACAATAAATTGTGCATTTTCTTAAAGATGCACGAAGAGAAATTTTTTGAGAAATCAATCAAGTTTAGACAAAAATATCAATCCCAAATTTTTAATAATTTTTAAAGGTTAATTTGTTTTAATTAATGCCAAATTTGGATGCTTTCTTATTCTTTTATTAATGTTTACTTAATACAATTCTGTAAATATTAACAGTTATGTTATTTCTTTTTATAGACTTCTCAACATACTATTTGCCTTTTCTGTATTCATGTGTTTCATTCCTTGGAGTTCTTATGTTATTAAGTGAGTGTGATTAAAAAGTTAATTGTTTTTCTTTTATTTTCTCAGTTAAATTTTTTTTATGCTGATTAGTGTATAAGTATATCGTTCTGAAAAATGTTCGTTAATGAAATAAATTACACGAACTTATTTAATTGACTTATCAAAAGTGATATGATATTAATTTATATGTCATAAAGTAATATGATATTTGATTGATATGTCATAAAGTAATATGCTATCTTATAATGCTATTTTCCTGAAATAAATATATAATTAGAAACTAATTATCTGAAATGTTCAAGACCATCACCCTTCTAGATAATTGACCTTTTCTATTTCTGATAAATCAAAATAAAATACCGTTTTTTTAATTGTGCCTCAAATTCAACAATGAATAGCATCACATTTTAAAATAACAAGCATTAAGGAAATATGTTTATTTAGATAAAAAGAAAAAAATATATATATTAAAATAAAATAAAACATACCTACAGGCCTAAATAATTTGAAATGAAGGAAAAAGGTTGAAGAAAAATCAGAAACATCTTGATTCTTAAAAAATTTTGACATGAAACTCCTAATAGACATTTTTTAAAGCAAAAAGTTCATTGCAAAAAAAAGGGAAAAGATAAAGCAGAGGTTGATTAATTTACTGCATTTGTGTTGATAAGTTTGTCAGAGGTGATTGAATTGCAGAGATTCCCTGGAATTCCAGGTTTTTCGTATTATTCATTCAGGTCTAAAAATTGAAGCTGGGCATGTGATTTTTGTGCAAATATTGCAGAATTCTGCTTATCTCAGAACCATTGGTTCAGAGACTTAAAATTTGATGAAATTTTGAAGCTTTTGTCGTTGACAAGACGTTTGCATACATTCTTGCGCCAATTATGTGAAGAATTGCATCTTACGTGATTCTTCCACCTATTTGATTCTTTTGGTTTGGCTCATTTTCGCCAATTTGAATATTTGGAACTGCATTGGAATCTGCTAATATCCCAATTTTAATAAGAAACATTGATTTTCGTATTTACCTGATTTAAGTTGGCTTTGTATTAACACCATTTAAAAATTGTACATAGCAATTTCTATTCACGTAATTAAAAATTCAATATCGTGATTTGTATTTATGTGTTTTTAAAACCAAACATCGCTATCTGTAATCATGTGAGTTTAAAATCCAATATTGCGATTTATATTAATGCGATTTTTAAATCCAATAACTGGATTCTTATAAGAAGTAAGTTTTTCTTGAATTGGTTCTCTAAAGGTGTGATATTCTTCATTAGTAGGTAATTTAATAAATGTTATTTCAAATTAATGTTTATAAATGTTAATTCTATTGATTATGTTAAAGATAAATTGATACAGATTATTTGCACATAAAACTCAAGGTTTATCACTTTGTGTCACAATCACTTCTGGTTTGTTTTACTACGTCAACTCATTGATATTCTCTTGTTTTTAAGCTATACTTAAAAGCAAGATTAGATTATCCTTAAAAACAAGACAAGATTGATCATTACAGTCATAAGAATTATTCTTAGTTCAGCTTATTATGCATTTACTAATGATTCATACCGTAAAAAATAATAAGGCTTTAGCCCAATAATTAGCACTGTCTCAATAATTTTTGTCTCAATAATCTCTGCAGGCAGGACGAAATCTTGTACAATGCAGTTTAGCATCTATTCTTTTATTATCATCTATTCTTTTGATGTGCATCTATGCTAGGCGCAAGAAGCTGTAGTTCATTGGAGGAAAAAAATAACTACATCTGTGGTGACAATTTGGGTAAAGTATAGCGGGATAATTGACAAATTTAGTACTAATGCATTTATCAACTATGGCCTATCCCAAATCATCACCAACACATACAAATAAAGTAAGATAAAAATATATGTCTAGAAATAATGATCACAAGGGAGAACATTTACTAAAGCAATTTTAATAATGATTAACTTAATTATCAAGATTTACTCATTAAAATAAATCAGACCATGTGGCATAATAAAATAAGGTAATTACAAATTACACAAAACTAAATCAACATGTGACAAACAGATTTGGATTGAACACTTAAAGAAAAGGAATTGCACTGCTATAGCCAATTGAATTTAAAGTCACTTATCTTGCACATGTACTTGACTTGGCTTGAAACCTTAGAACTGAGAAACCATTTGTAGGTATCAGGTAGTTATTATCTGGATCTATATATCAATTGTTGCAGCAATAGTTTCAGGGTTGCTGTATATCTTGCTTCAGAATTTGTATCACAACACCTTTTTTTTTTTATCAGATCCCACTCAGCTCTCTCCAGGTCTTAGCCCTCTCTTCCTCACCTCTGTCCTGCCCCTGTTCTCAGGTTTCCTCTCCTTACCCAAAAATTGGCAGACCAAAACTGCTTATTTTATTAACAGAGAGGCTATCTCAAACAGTCAGACAGTTTGGGCAGAAATAGGATGACTGATACTCATAAAAAGGAAAGAGAGTTGTAGCAACACTACAAATCCAAAGGTGAACGAAGACTTTATGGGCCCCAGGACAAATTAGACAATTGTCCTTCTCTTTCCCCTTTGAGTACATCACATTTTAATTACATACATAATTTTCTTAAATTGTCATATAAAATAGAAATGTCTATAACTTTTGCACTGAAATTCTAGTATTTCAAAATTTCCTATAGTTTTAACATGTGAACTTGGTTTTATCCTACTAGTGGGGTAAAACCCAGTTGTTCGATTTTTCTAGAAAAAAATCATTTATATAAGAAATAGTTCATCTTGAACTTTTCGTACTCATAAATCAGACAGTTTCTAGTTTGAACAGTTTATCTCCAACAGGTCTTTGAATCATAATTATACGCCATTACCCCACCTTCCCCTATGTTTTTTAATGGAGTTTTTGAATATTCAGTGCTCTTGATCTCTTTATCTAAGGTTCAATTCCTGTATGCCCTGGATAAAATGTTTTATACTAGTTGAATATTTTTAATTTTCATTTCCTGTTTATGTAAATTAAAATTTATGCAAATCCACGCAAAATTTTGCTTAATAAAATAAGTTTCTGGCTTTAATGTTATGTTTTGAAAAATATTTGGCAAATCTAATTTTATGCTTCCAATTTTTTAAACAACCTAAAATAATGACAAAAATTACATGTGTACATATACAAAAATGACATTGTCAAAAAATCTCAAATTGTTAATTTTATTGGATCCCTTGATAAATGCCTTTTTAAAAATAGAAATAATTGCAACACAATATAATTTTATTCTTGGGATTATAAGTTGTGTCTGCCAATACTATTTTATGAAATTGATACAAAAATGTCAATAAAGACCTATACTCAAATATTATTGTATTTGTATAATATTTAGTATTATCTTTTATTGGTATTTTTCTCATTCTTAAGTTTCCAAAAACAATTTAATACATTCCCACTGCTTGTAATGTCTTAAGAAGTAAGTTGCACAAAAATCAGTTATACAGAATTTTTTATTTTGCTTAAAAATGACAGTTGTAATCCTATATTGTATTAATATTTGTTTTTATTTTTAATTTTTAGTATGCACACCAGTTGGATTTGCTCGATTGTTTACTGTTATGTCAGATGTTATTGTTCAGCCAAAGGTAAAATTGTTTTCTTTAAAGACATTACATTGTATATGATTATTGTATATTATTTCATTGCATTGTATATGATTATTATATATTATTACATTGTATATTGTATCCATATAGTAAAGAAAAATTTAATCCCTTAATTAAATGTATTTTTTTAAAAAAATTTTGCACCTTACTTATCATAAAATAGATATGTTGCATTTATATATTAAGCAACACATGTCACTATTTAGTAGAACTGGGCAATGTTATGCTTTTGGCATCTTAAAGTATCGTCACTCTGACATCGCAATGTTTCGCTTCATTAGTGTTTTGCATTTCGTATTGCATGATTTAAATTTTTTTCCAGTTTTTGAGCATATAATTGATTTCTTAAGGCGTGAAATCTTATTTTTGTAATTACTCAATCCTCAGTTATCTAACAAGTAAAGTATTTAAAATATTATAAATTTGTGTAGTTATTAACAATTCTTGGATTTTTGAAAAAAAAACAAACAATAAAACATTAGTAGCATCATACATCAGTAACATGACAACACATTGAAAAAATTTAAAAAATAAGGCAGAACAGTCTGTGCATGGCAATTATGAATGTAACATCAAGATTAAAACGCACATTGAGTCAATATTTATAAAAAAATCTTTATAAACAAAAAAATTAAAAAACTCTTCTGATGAATTGAGAAAGCAGGGGTCTGTCTAGGTTTTTCTGAGAGGTACCTATTTTGTGAAAATTTAGACATAATTTGTGAAAAATTAAAAATTATATTTAAAAAATCCAATGCAAAAATATGGCAAGAATATGGATTTATCATTTCTTAAGGAATACAAAAATAACATTTTAAGAAAAAGTATTTTGTGAAACTACCGTTTTTCCTGAAATTAAATTTGTGAAACTACCGTTTTTCCTAAAGTTGAATTTGTGAAGGTACCGCTAAACGGTAGTAAATTCGGTCTGGACAGACCCCTGGAAAGATTGAAAACTTAAGAACAGCTGATGTCAAAAGCCATGTGCAAATTCCAAGTTATCCTCATCCATCGTAAATTCAGTATATTACTATCAAAACTTTTTTTTTTTGAAAAAAAAATGCAATGCATTGAAAACTAAAAGGAATCACTGAATAAAGCAAAAATAGTGAAAATTTGCATGTAGTAAGATCCATTTTTTAAAATAAATATTGAATTTTTTATGGTTTTTCACAATAATGATTATTTCACAATATTTAAAAACTTGAATTTTTTAGCGCAATACCGGCTAAAACACGATTAATTGATAAATTGATTATAAACAAATCAACACCGGAAGATTTAAACAGTTAAAAAAAGCTTGTTTCAATAACAGAGATTCAACAACTCTTCAATTCTCAGTTATTCAAGTCACATGAGGAGTCAGCATGTTAGCAAAATGTATATCTCTACTTGATGAGTCATGATGGAAAAAACACTAAGAAAATAATGATAATCTACTCAATAATCAATGTTCACTTATGATCAGGGGAGAATGCTCTTTTTGGCAGATTATGATCATCCATGTCTGATCGGGATAATTGCTCTTCAAGTGCGCTTGAAATCATTAATGTGCTATGAGGAATAATGCTCTTTATCCCACATGTCAACATCAATGCCTATGATGCATTGGGAAATGTACATTAATGCAGATAAATCATAATTGTTTATACTTCGAAAAAAATGTCAATCCAAACCTCGGATTGGCGAGGATTGTATAACATTGACATTTTCCGATGCATCAATATGTCAGCCAAGCCTGCTGTTTAGTTGGGAGTTTGAGCTTCGAGCATCAGTAAAAAATTTTTCTGTGATTCTGTAATTTGTTAACCCTAATAAAATTTTTTATACAATAGAGAACCAATTATCCGGGATGCTCGGGACCATCGCTATCCCGGATGTCTGAATTTCCCGGTTTTCTGGATCCACCAAAAAGTATCGTTAATCGATGTTTTATCGAACCCAAATTACAAGGAAGAAGTGTAATGCATAAAGTAAAAGAAAAAAGAAAGGTACTCCTAACTTTAAAAAGAAAAAAGAAATGGTAGAAAAATAACATTTAAAAGAATAAAAAAATTTGCAAGTTTAGACAAGAAAAACAAGTTTAAAAAATACAAAATTCTCGTATTTATTTTTTAAAAATAATTACAATTCCTAAATTAACTAATATAAACAAAACCAATGGTTAAATAACGCAATATATTTCATACCTAATTATACGGGGGAAACGATAAAATAAAAGGAAAACTTATTAATCTAAATAAAAACACTTGAAAATTATCGAACCGAAACGATAGTTAAAAAAGGCACTAGCATAAATATTAAAACCCGGAACAAGGCAAGATCAACGGAATTTTAAAAAAAAACCTAATGATAAAATTTATGAATAAAAAGAATTAATTTATTGAGTGCGAAATTTATCGTGAAAAGAAAAAAATATCAAACCTAGTGGAATCAGAAAAACAAAACTGTAATCTGCTTCATAAAATAATCCTATGTTTAAATTAATAAACAAATCTCCTTTTATTTATTTTTTTTGTTGATAAAAGCACGATATTTAATTACAGCAGATGTGATTCTACATCAATAAAAAATTGCAAATGATACCGCACTTCCAAAGAATGAGAATTTATTCAGAAGAAAAAGGTTTTATTTTTATTAATCGATGTCAAATAGATAAATATATTTTTCTCTTTCATCTTCTGTTCACTGATATGCATGCAATGCATTTTCCCCACCCGCCTCGTAAATCAAACAGAAAACGAAATCAGCATGCCACACCCTTGAGCAAAACATTCCTCCCTTCCCTGCCTTCAAGGTCACGGAGGAAATGACGTTTCTCTGGGTAAACGGGGAAAAAATTCTCCCCTTCCTTACATTTTCCTCTACTCAACTTCAAGGATGAGTACAATTTCTGCTTTTTTTCATAATTGTTCTAGTTTAAAATGGCGGGAAAACCAATAAAATTTTTTCCTGGTTTTCTGGTTTCCTGGTTTTCTGGTTTCCCGGTTATCTGGATACCGGATAAATGGTTCTCTACTGTATATTTAAAAAGTCATACTTGAGAGTACAATTCAGTAGATTAAAAATAGGGATGCAGAGAATCTCATGTGTATCATTAAGGGAGTCTATGCCATTATGGATATGAAAAATATTATTAAAAAAAGTATTATTTATTATAAAAAAATTAAAATTGGTTTATTAAAATTTTATTATTTTAAAAAAATATCATAATTCTTAATTTGTGGATAAGTAAATAAGACAAGAATATGGAAATTAATTATGACCAATTAGTAATCAACTAACCATTAATTATCTTTTGTGGGTAAATTTTGCTATTTGTTATTGAAGAGGCTGATCAATAAAAAATTATATTCATCCAATGGTGAAATTTTTTTTAAATAATCATATTTATTTATTTTCCAAGCCAGATGAGTAATTATCTGAATTAACCAGAACTTTTAAACCCGTTAAAAATTTATAAATATTAATAAATTTTGAAAAATTTTGCCAAATTAAATTGTAATGATGCAAGAGAAAATTAAAAAAGAAAAACTTTTTTCAAAAATATTCTTTGTATTTTTTTATGAGTTAAATAGTTTCTACTCCTCTTGTCCTTTAAAACAGCACCACACATTTTACTTAAATTCAAATTTTTTTTGTAAAATTGTTTTAATTAAGTAAAAAAATAAACTAAATCTTAATGATACAAAGTGGACTTAAAAAATTATTTTTCAAATTGGCAAGTTATGTAACAAATGAAATTTATAAGTTCTTCTTTGGAAACTTTAACACGTGTATTTATACTATGTGATAAGTAGTTTATAGTCTTGGACTTATTCTTCTAAATATATATTCCTTGAAATGATGTGGAAAGTAAATTTTTGTTTTGGTCAAAAAGTGACTAAAATTGTTATGATATAATGGGCATTTTAGAAATTAATTTTGTAAATCTACATTGTCGAACTTTTGTTTTTGTAATATGGATAATTTTTACGCATGTCCATTTTTAAAATGATAACATGAACAGTATCATGAATGAACAGTAACATGAACAACATGATAATTATCCAGAACTGAGGTCAATCCCATAAAGTTAAAGAAATATACAGGTAGTTGGACAACTTTGAAAAATGTCACATAATGCTTTAACAGCAACTTCAAAATGTGACTTTTTCATTATTTTCTTTTCACACTGCATTATTTGTTCAAATCTGATAAAAAGTAAAAAATTTTATTGAAATTTTTGAAAACACTTGATACAATTAATATACTTTTCTCCTATGTTTTTTGGTGAATTAATATTTGGTTTAAATACAGTAAATTTAATAAAATATTTGGTTTTAAATACAGTGAAAAGTTTGATAGAAGGAAAACAGTATATTGCTGGAAGTTTGCTATTATGACAAATTTTAAAAAGCTAATATTAATGGTATAAAATTGTATGTTCATAATAAGTTAAAAATGGCTAGCCTACCGCTATTATGTCAAAATTTTATTGAGGAAAATACATTTTTCTGCTGTTTAAGTGAGCAATATTGAAAAAGAATTCAATGGAAAATTTTTTTGATTTCTAGTACCAATGCAAAAAAGTGAAAAACGAACATTGTGTACTTTTTGCCATTATAAACCTTATTTTAAAATGCAATACAAGGTTGACCACCTGCTAAGTTATCTTCTTTCTAACAAAAAAGGGTTTCTTCATTTATTAGAAATCCTTTTGTTGACCATATTTTTATTATTATATATCCCTTTTTGACTATTTAAATCCATATTATCTGTTGTCATTGAAGCACTTCATTTCATTTTCTCCTTGCAGAAACTTCTTATTTAAGCATTTCTGTTGTAAGCATTTTTGCCTTTAATAAAGTACAAAGCTATGTAATTCAGTTTACGATCTGTAGACAAAAGTAACCTACTCTGCATATTTTAATTAAAAATAGCTGTTATGAAAAAAATGATATGTCTTTTGGAAAATGCAATATGTCTATTGCATTTTCAATATTTTTATTTTAACATTAAATATGTGTTTGCTTCTGCCAATAAGCACTTGATAATGACAGTTTCATCTACTATAATGTTTGAATTGTCATTATGACCGACTTTTACTGTCTTTTCTTTTTAATTATTTTATTGATTATTTTTCTTATTAGTTTTATTCTTATAATCATGGAATTATTTTGTAGCTTACTCCCGTAAGTCGCTATCTCAAAAGTTTTGTGAAGCCTCAAGTTCTTTTTATGGCAAATGATGAAGCTGTAAGAAATTCTGTTTTTCAACTAAATCAAGTTTATAAGCGTTCAAATTTATCTAGGGTCAGTATTTTTCAATTTTTTTTTGTGTTTTATACTATATGGTGTGTATCTTTTTTAAAAGGTACTGAAAGATGCTTATTTTTAGTTTTTGTTTTTTAAAAGCCTTTAAAGGTGCTTATTCTTCATTGGGTGTTTGTAAAAAGTGCTGAATTTTCTCTTATCAAAAAAAAGTTTTTTCTTTGTAATGTTGATTGTTGCCATGAATTAAGCAGAAAGGAAGGTTTCTCAACATTGTCATTCAACTACTGACAGTTTCAGCTGACAGTGTTCCGTATAATAAAGCGTCAATAATTTTATTTATTGAATTAAATTATTGCTGGTCTGCATGCTTGTAAGTACCAACTTTTTCAGTATCAGTTACAAATTGATACTGATACAATGAATTATCAATTACATAAATTCATTACTTTTTGTATCAAATGCTTGTCAACTAAAATTCCAAAATAATATCTTCTTTTTGTGTTCTTTTGAGCAATACGTTTGAGCAAGTTGAAAGTTATCCATTATAGTATATAATTACTCTATGTTTCTTATTAATAAAGTTTTATTTTTATGTATGCACTTAATTAGAAAACATGGCACATAATAAACAAAGAAAGAAAGAAAGAAAATTATGAGTTAATGCAAAATATAAATCCTTTCTTAAAGAATACTTTGAAAATGAAGTTGTATAAATAAAATAAGACAAAAGCAAATCAGTTAATATTTTCTACATCACCTGAGATATTTGACTTTGTTAAAGTAAGGTCTTTAAATTTCATTGTTCATGAACTATCAATAATACATTTTACAAAATCATAAATACTTAAATTATAATTTATTTTAGGTATCATATGCAAAAATAAATAAATGAAAACAAAAATAAGAAAGAAAAAATAGCTAATATAATCATAATTTGTAACTGCTATATTTTCATCTGAACTAAATGCTTTTCAGTGAAAAATCTTTCCAGTTCCTTTTTTTAATAATATTTGGCTGTACACAACCAGGGACAACCAAATTTTTCCTCCACATCAATTAGGCTGTGAATAGTTAAATTTTGTAACAATAAATCTGTTTTGCTCAAGCTACAAAGTGGATGCTACAAGAAGTTGGCTCGAACGGTGACCAGACTGCCTGTAGGGTCAACACGCAAAGAGATAAGAATTGATAGATTTATAAAAGAATTAGAGGAAGTCTTATCTTTCAATTTGTTTTTATGTTTATATTAAATTTAATTATAAATCCACATACATTGTATCTATATTAAAATTTTAGTCATAGGACCACTGGCACACCAAGAGCCATGTGGTTTCAGTGTCAAAACCTCGTCCATAGCTGAAGTATATTATGCAAATTAAGTAATAAGTTATTATTCATCAGGCGCTAAAAAAATATCTTTATATCTGGAATATATAGAGAGAAATTTGGAATTGAAATCAGTTAGCTGCTTTTATGTATTTATAGTTGTTATAAATAAACACAATCATTATATAGTAAATCATGTTTATTAATTATTTAAATTTAATAGCTTTTATAACATACTATTTGTTAAAAACATTTTTTTAATGTTTATAACATGTTTTGAATTGGAATAATTTTATAATAATAGGAATAGCTTTATAATGAAGCGAATATACTTAATTAATCAAAATTATATCAGATATAATATGTACTTTTTATAAACGTGAAATTCTGATTGACGTTTGAATGAAAGAAATAACATATCATTTTATCAGTTCATATAAAAATAAAAAAATTTACATTTATGTATGATAACGCAGAAGGAACTAAAAAATGTGAGACGAGTCACTTGAATATAACACGAAACCTCAACCAAATAATGCAAGAAACTAGTAAGATTGTTACTGCCTCAGATATCAAAGTTCTGAGATCGACTCAATTGAACTAAAAAAAGAGATAAGAGAAACTACTTTGCCTTTATTTGGTAATCATTAATCACGTGTCCAGACCAGTGATGTTTACTTTTTCTTTTTGCTTTAGATTTAGTTAACAGCTGTGACTCTTTATAATTAAAACTTTAGAGAACTGGAAGAATCTCCCAATTATTTAAATTTCAATAAAAAAAAAAAAAAAAACGTGGAAGTCAAACTGAAGTAAGATATTTTTATTTAATGAGTAAGAAAACTTTGTCTTATATGAACTTGCATTTAATTGTATTTAATGTTAAAAAACTATGTTTCATTTTTATGTGTTTTGAATTAACTTTTTGCTTTTGATGTAATTTGAAAGTATTCTAATTTTTCAATTGAGAGTTTTTTCTTTAATTTATTTTGACAGCATGAATTGTATAAAATAAAAGCTCAATCTTTTGACTTCTGTGCTTGTAGTAATTGGTAATTCAGTGTTTAGTTATTAGGCCAATTGATCTATAAAAACGTGTGTTAAAACAAGAATTGTAACTCCATTCAACCGACTCACTAATGATACATCTTGAAGGAAACTTAATAAGTTGCCCATACAGTTAATTCCGAAATGCTTTAGATATTCATCACTATTGAGGGAATACTTCCTAGATTCGTTAGCTACATCCACAATTGTTTTTATCTTTTTTTTTTAAAACTTGCCTAATTTTTTTTAAATATATGTCATTTAAAACATTTTCCGTTTCAAACTCGTTTGCAAAATTTGAAGAAACCAAAAAATTAGAAAAACTTAGAACAGAATATAAAATTTTAACATTGCAGTCAGAAAATTCTAGAGGAATAAATGCTACTTTAAGTATGCCTTATTAAATCACTCTTGTTCAATTAAAAGTAGTTCATTGTAATGTGTTTTTAAACTTTTTCAAAAATTGTAAAATCAAGTTTTGAAATTTATATCTGCTTTTTTCTATAATAATTTTCTAAACAGTTATGTACCCCAGACATTTTAAATATTTTTAAACAGTTGTTTCAGCCAAGAAATTTCAAACTGATTTCAGTAGTAATCGTAACTATTTACTCTTTACCATACCTTTCGCCTTAAGAGTTCATATATGTCGTCCATTTGCAAAACATGCTAACTGCATTTTTGGGAAAAAAATATCATAATTATTTTTGGCATCAATATAGAAAGTCATTTGATGTTTTAATTTTTTTTAGGAAAATCCTATTTACTACTCTGTATAATAGAGTTGTTACATTTTTCCAAATGCAGTTTACAGGTTTTGTATCTGCTTATGCAAATGTGGTAAATATCTTTTTCTCTAATATATTTCATAACTCTGGAGAGTATTTTCAAAGCTCCAAGTTAAAGAAAGATACTTAAAACCAAAGCATTCTCTGATAGGTCTTACATTCATATATTTTTATTTTATTTATATATTCTACTATAATTGTTTAATTGGGTGTCTGTATATAGTTTATTTTGTATTCTAAGTTGTTAAAATTTAATTTACTTTAAATAAAAAAGGTACTTTAAAGTGGTTGGTTTTTTTTCATAGTGATTAGAGCCCGAGTTGAAAATTTGTTACTTAGCATAAGATTCTTCAGTATTTTGCTAAAAATGCATTGCCATTTGCATTTAAAATGACAGGAAGGATAAGTATAGTATTAAAAAAATATATTGCAAAACTTTTGACCTAATAAATATTATAACAAGAAGTAAACACAATTATTGCTTACTTAGTGATAATGTTATTATTTATTTATGTAAAAAATAAGTAAACATCGTTTTTATGTGTAGTTTTGCATTTCGCTTTAGTGGTTGATTTAAAAAAATATATTCTTTAAAAATAGTATCCACATTGTTGCTGAATGTAAAATATTGAATTTACTTCTATAATGTGATTCTGTTATGAAGGTATTTTCAATTTCATGTGTTCAATGATTCAATTTTGTATGATACTTCCAATTTCATATAAATGTTAATTAAGTTTTTCTTTTTAAGAATGAGGATAATGGGATAGATGTGTCTAGAGAAGAAACCAAAAATCTGTTAAAATTCCTTCATGGTTCTGGTACGTTTTGAGTTCTATTAAATTCATTTATTTAAATTGAAAGTCATTAGTGAGCTTTTTATTTTGTACATAATTAAAATTGCTTTATAAATTGGATCTAGGTCAGACTACATATTTAAGAATTCTTAAAGATCCAAATTTAAGAAAAATGGACAAAGCTTAATATACATATTTAAGGAAATGAATATTGATTCTATGAGCATTTGATTCTATTTTTAAACTACTTTTATAAGCATTGTTTTTATAATAATTAACTTATGAATCCAAATAAACTTGTTATGTATAGATCACTATGTACATGTTTTAATGTAAGTTTTTTTCCCCAACTGAATTTAAATGACTACAGTTCCTTTTACTAGGGTCCCACATTTCTTAAAAATTATTTTTAAGGGTCTGACATTAATATTACATGGACTTTACTTTTTTAAATACAATTTTAACATCTCGATCTATAAAAACAAAGAATTCTTATACACATATATTCCTTTCAAACATAATCTGTGGTATTCATCAAAAATATTAAAGCATTTATGTTTGTTTTATTTTTGTCACTACTTTTTAAAATTTGTAAGACCCATGGGAATTATCCTTTTTAGATTTTTTCTCTAAGCGAATTTTTCAAATTTCATTCAACATTTCTCATTCCCTGTCACTATGTAGGTAAGACTTTTTTCGGATCCTTAAGAGAATTAAATTTTTTGGTTTTGATTTTTCAAGCTTCAGAAAAATTTTGAGGTAATAAAGATTTTAAAACTAACTGACACTGATTTGTTCACATTTTGTTACTCAAAGAGATAGTCTGAATAGTTGCATTTGTAATATACCTAGCCACTCTGATCCCTAAGTCCAAAATTTTGCTTAGTAATGATTATGTTAAGTGTTTAATAAAGTAAGCAAAATTTCAAATTGTTTTAGTTTGGCTTAAAAATATTTTGTTCATTCTTTAAAATTAAAAAGGCTCATTTTGTGTTGTGTCTATTTCTTTAAATACACATTTTCAGCTATGTCAATGTTCTTGAAAAAATATTTTCAACTATGCCCATTTTCTTGAACATACGTTTTGCATTATGTCTGAAATAAAAAGCTCACAAATTAAATATTTATTAATAGCTATTTCTGAAAAAGATTAAAAATTGTAAAAAATATTGTAGTAGTAACTAATATTTTCTTTTAGAAATTTTCTATGTGCAAATTGTAACATTTTATTTAATAGTTTAGTATGATTGACTGACAAATAATAGCCCTTCACTCAAAAAGGTTGTGCACTCCTACTTTAGGTCAAGCTGATTTATCTCTGTACAAGTTAGAAAGGGAATGTTGTGCCAGAGAACTATGGTTCTTTCATTTTTTTAAAAAATTGCAATTTAAAGTATTTCGTACATAGGAATATTTTAAATCAAATGAAAAAATTTTTTATTTTCTATCAAGAGTTAGAAAAATTGTGTATTTCTTTTTTTTACTCAAACTGTATTTAGTTCTTTAAAATAATTGTAAAGCATCCATATATGAGATTTTTAGACAGTTTAGGCAATTTGGTATTTTACTTAACATAAGTATTGCGTTAAGTAAAATACAAAGTTTAAAGTTTAACATTAAGATAAGCTTAATATTCAAACCTATTGGGCTTTTACTAATTAAATTCTTATTTGATTTTAGAAAGTCTAAATTGGACTATGAAGAAAAGTTTTATTTATCCTATTGTGATGTTGATTCTGGTTTCTTTAACAGTAAGTTTCCAATTTTTACAAATGTTTATCAAGAACTAAAATAATTATCATTAATCTAAAAGAAGTAACGAAATTGTTTCTATTTAATATAGTTTTTTTTTTTTTTTTTTTTTTNAATTTTTTTTTTTTTTTTTTTTTTTTTTTTTTTTTTTTTTTTTTTTTAGTTTTAAAATTGGAACTGTAAATCTTACATTCAAAATAATTTTTTTCCATGCAAATGATTAAAAAAAAAAAGATTTAATACTTTTTTATAATTTATTGTGGTATAATCAAGTTATAGTGTAATGATCTTAATATGAGGAATTGAATATTGCCACAAAGAAAACTCTTAGCACTATTTTTTAATATATGAGAGCGTTATAGATATACAAAGTACACAATATTGTGTTCAAAGTACACAATATTGTGTCTTTCTCTCAATGTGCCAGTTTTACTTACAAATAACAGATATTTATACTAAAAGAATTGTGTTAACTATGCAGATAAGTGAATCCTAATTTTAAGCTCGAATTTCATATAATTTTATTTCTGGATAACAATATTTAGATTTTTTTTTGGGACCACTACTTTTATTAAAAACATTCTGTGAGGAATGTTGAGATTTAATAAAAAAATATCTAGAATAATGCTGGTGCTCTTGGAGTTTGTAGAAGAGTGATATTCTTTGAAGGACTTTTTAGGTTCTGAGAAATGTGTAATACTACCATGAATTGTTCTTTATTGATATTATTCAAATGATCTAATTAACTCTCCCAAGCATAGATTTTTGTTGAAGTATTTTATTGAACTATGCATTTTTATAAATAGTCTATTACAGAACTTGTTTCTCTTGATGTAAACTGGTACTACTTGAACTTTTGTCAAGATTATAGGTTTGCCTGAACCTGTGTACAATAAGACTCAAAGTCTTAATGAGGTACTGTTTCTATGTGACTAATGATCAAATCAGTGATCATGTTTAAGACTTTGAAACATTATAGTCCACAGCTATTCCAGGTCAAATGTGTGAAGTTTATGTGCCAACTGAAAAGTCAGATGAATTGACCGCCCAATCTCCAGATCCACTAGAGTTATGCCAATAACAGCATGCTTGTCAATAATAATTCTTATTAAGGGAAATGAGTTTTCATTCATAGAGGTTATGCATTTTAAGCTATTTTTTAGACTCCCTCCAAATGCAGCTTTGCAAACCATTCAGTTTAGGTTTGATGCAGTTGTAAGAGGCATGTGCCATGCTCTTTACTTTTTATGTTCTTTGTACAACATAAATGTTATTTATGCAACATAAATTGAAATTAATTTTCGCTAAATAGTTTCATTTCTTAACTGTATCACACATTTAATCACAAGACCTAATAGTTATTTAAGGCAACATGCATGATAGTTATGAATTTTGGCGAAATACAGTGGAAAGTCACGTATCCGGAATCAGTGGGACTTCTGGAAGTCCGGATGTTAGATTTATCCGTGTAATAGACCCCCTAAGGTAAATAAAGTTTTAAACGATCTGAATCTAATAAATAAGCATTATTTTTCGGACAATAATGTTTTAGTACGTATTAGAATTATATCTAGTCAAAAACAAAATGTTAGAAAAAAATAATGAATGGTTAAAATATAGAAAACGAAGAAAATTTGTCAGTTATGTAAATATCAATTGCTCTCTCCGCCATTTTGAACTAGAACGATTCAAGGAAGAAGGGGAAATTACCGTCATTCATTAAAGTGGGTAGGTGGAGGAGAAAAATTCATTTCCTCCTTATTTGTCATTCAAGCTGAGGGCGGGGAAGTGACAAATTCTTATTTTCTCTCTGATCATTGGCTATCAATCAAGCATAAAGGCATGGCATGCTAATTGGGTTCTCTTTACTTTTTCTTGTTGATTGAAAATGACGCCCCCGCCACGTTAACCTTTGCTGGCGTTTACCTTTTTTCGCAGTATTTCTTTTTTCCCTAACACTCTAATAAAAAGGTTCTAGGAAATTCCTCTTTTACTAGCCAGCTGCATAAGAAAGAAGGGGGGGGGGAGGAGATTCAATTGTGCTCTTTTGAAAACAAATCTCCCTCCTTTCCTGCATTCCAGAGGAGGAGTGTCACTAACGGTCGCTCAACGGTCTTGGTAGATCTTCTCTTCCTCTTTTTGGGGATTTATGGGTTCAATACATAAATCACTAGAAGCTAGAAAAGTAAAACGTGTTAAAAGACCTCTTTTTTTAAAAGAGAGGGGAAGATGAAGAGATGTTTGTTTATTTTAATTGTTAAAAAGTGTCTGGGAAATCGACCCTTCGAGAAAAGGGACGTCCGGATATGGGACGTTACACTGTAGTAAGATTAAGATTCAGCTTGGGTTTTCTCTTTAAAATATAGTATTTAAATTTTTTTTCATGTTTGTGCTAATATTAGTACATTATCATTTTGTTATTAAAATGATGTTGTTATTCCAGTTATTGCTTTATGGAAAACTTTTAAATGTTATTAAAAAATAAATTTTTTAATGACTTGTATTTTTTAATTAATTTGTAAATCATTATTTATTTCAATGGTTTTCTAACAATTCTTTGTTTTAATTTATATTTTTATTTATTTATTTTTGCATAAGAATGAGTTGATTTATTTGCTCAGTAGTTAAATTTAAACATATCTATCTGGAAAACTCTAATGTACAACTAAATAAATCAAGTTTTATTGTTTGGAAAAATGTAAATTGTGGAAAATATTAAATGTTTCATTTTGCATTTAAGTACTATTATTGAACTAATTATATGTAAAAAATTATTGTTATTATTCTGGAAAACTATGGAAAAATAGCTCTACGATTGTGAGAAATCATTGTTATAGACTGACAGTGAATTATTTTATAATTTTAACTCCTTTTTTTTTCTTAATTATTTCATGGCTTTTAAAGCTAGAATTATAAATATTTTATAAGTACAAGTTTGTGAACCACATTTAAACATAGTGATTTATGTTTATTTATAGAGTGTGGCTAAAATTAAAGTAGATGTTTTTAAAGTTCAATGACAAAAAAAAGAAAAATATTGGACTAAACTTGACTAAATTTGCAACAGTTAGACATATCCATTTTTCACCAACTGGAGTTGGGAGACATTAGACAAATGCAGACAAAATAGACATTAATAACAAATGCAGAACACTAACATTTTACATGCATTTTTAAATTGGCGTCACACTTATATTATACACTTAAATTGCATAAAACACTATAACATTCATGTTTCCCTTTAGCAGAAGTATAAGCAGATATTTTATAGAGAAACAAAGTTATTTGTAGTTCCTTCTTCTTAAATCAAGTGCTTGTATGCTATTCACTTGTAAGCAATAAGTTTTTTCCGTAATGTAGGATGAACTTCAAATAACCTCATTTGTACGTTTGATTCAGCAGTTTTCTTGTTATCAGCCTTTAAACACTTCTTTTATTATGGCCACTCTTTATTTGTTACAAAATGTATAGGTGTTTGTTTCTGAAATGATTCATAAAATTCAAGAAATTTATATAAGTTTCTAAAAAAATCTTTTTTTAGGCATTATCTGTATTGATTGTTTTTCAAAATATACTGGAATTGTGCTTTGGAATAAAATCTCTACCCACGTCCCCTAAGGTAATTAGACTTATTTTTTAAGATATGCTTTATAAACTATTATTGTTGCTTCTACTAGTACAGTACAGAGCCCGTTATTCGGAAATCAGAAAACCGGAAAACCAAAAACCCAGAACGAAATTCGATAGATTTTCCCGCCATTTAAAAAAAGTTTTTTTTTTCCCTCATAAGATTTCAGGATGTTTCTTTCTTTTTTGAAAGATGTTTACCTTACCATCATTTTGAAAATAATCATTAGTGTATTACTTCATTGTTTTTTCTTCTTTTTCAGATTATTTCCAAAAAATTTTTTGTTTTAGTTGAGTTTGGCAATAAAAAAACGGCTTTCTGTAGCGATTCAGAAAACTGGAAAAATCAGTTATCCGGAATAGCGATGGTCCCGATCATTCCGGATAATCGGTTCCCTACTGTACTAAGTATGTCATATCAATAGAATATGCTTATGTAAATCTAATTAATTTGAAGTAGATTAAGAATTATTTAAATTTAAGAGTTGACTGGAAAAGTCCAAGGAAATTTGTAAGATTATTTTTTGTGTAATATGAAATTAATATAGTTTCATATAAAAATATCGGAATTGAAAATTGGCCGTTAGTGATTTCTTAATTTTTTGTTATGTGATATCTACAGTGCGCTAAAAAAAGCAATATTCCCCAGAATAAGTTTTATTCCAATGATCAGATTTTCCTGTAGTAAATGTCAATCTTGATGGGTTCAGTGAGTGATGATATGCTAATTAATAGGTTCTAATTAATAATTAAGTTGAAAAATAAAACACAAAAATGTACTTTCTTGGAATAAGCATAGATTTTTTTTACCCTGGATTTGAATTTTTTCTTCCCCCAAAATATGAGGAATATCTACAATCTGAAAGTTATGGCCCTAATAGATTAGTCAGGAAAGTGTGTGAAAGTTTAGATTCCTTAACTCATTAACAGTCATATAATTTTACAAAAATGATCATAAAAGTGCTTATTTTTTTTATTCAAGAAAATTCTATAAAACTAAATGATTGCATAATATGAAGTACAAATGAAGCATCTGTACAAACGAATACATATTAATTTTTAATCTTTGGTTAATCACAAATATACATGTCATATAAGTGCTGATGTCTATTTTAAAATAAACTATCTCTGAACGAACAGTTTGGTATTGCCATCTGTTGTAGATTAAGAAATAAGCATGATTTCAAGCATAAGCATTTTTTTTTATGCATTAATTTTGAACATTCCAGCCCGGAAATATCACTGCCATGAAAAAATAGAGGGTGAATTTGACGGGTCCCATCAAATTTACCCTCTCACCTTGATCATTTTTACAGGAGCAAGGAGCGTTATTTGTGTTTCTGATCATATTTTTAAAGGTTATTGTGCAACTCATTGTACCAAATTTTGTACCAACTCATGAAACTTGTTTTTCCAAAGATAATTGCATAATATAATGTTTAGTAGTTAATTATTATGTTTTATTATTTAATTTAATATTGAGCAAAAAAAATCAAAGTATGAACCATAAATTTTTTATACTAAATTAAGTTATATATATTTTTTATAAAATAGTGCAATTAATTTGCCGATATTAGTATGCATATATATACACAGTACGACCTCGAAAATCTGGACTTCTAAAATCTGGATTTGTACTTCCAGTTCATCGGAAAAATGTTCCAANATTTTCCTCTACTCAACTTCAAGGATGAGTCCAATTTCCGCTTTTTTTGTTCTAGTTTAAAATCGTTCTAGTTTAAAATGGCGAGAAATTCGAGCAAAATTTTTCCCGGTTTTCTGGTTTCCCGGTTATCTGGATACCGGATAAATGGTTCTCTACTGTATATACACAGTACGACCTCGAAAATCTGGACTTCTAAAATCTGGATTTGTACTTCCAGTTCATCGGAAAAATGTTCCAAATCAATAAAAAAAAATGCTTAAAATTAAAACTTAAATGTAAAAGCGCAAAACCTCAACTCTTGTCAAACAACAAAGCAGTGGATGAAGAGGTGGGGGTGGGGAGTAAATCGAAGCACATAGCTGATAAGGAAATTCCAGCCATTCTTATCAGTGCTGTATAGATAAGGCGTGCAGGAGAAGGAATTCTTCTATCACCTTCTTTCCCCCCCCCCTATGAAGAAAGAAAACTGGTTCTTTTTTCTACTTTGAAAGCAAAAGTGAAAACGAAAACGATTTTGATGGTATTAAATTTTCAAAAGTTCAAAATTTAAAACTTGAAATAAATGAACCTATCGATTACGCAAAAAAGGGCATATTTAAAATTGATGAAGATGATGTTGAGGGGAGGTAATGAGTTGCGAAAACGAATTACTAGTTGTCAATCACGTGACTGACGACAAAATAAAAATTATTAATTTTCAATCTAAGAGCCATTCCCCTTATTTTGTGTGAACTTTATTTTAAATTAATCAATATTTTAATAAAATGAATTGTATAAATAACAAGTTTTCTTAGAATCTTTCCTGTATGCTAAATAAATCCCCACATAAGGTTATATCTAAATCATAATTAAAAAAGTCAATAAATAAAAGCTATGTTGTATTAAAAAAAAGAAAATTGATTTATTGTTGCATGCAAGATATAATTTAAAACAAGGCCAATATGGCCTTCCAGTACTGACACTATTGTTGTAGTAGCTAGGCTATTAGATATACTAGTGTCATAAAAGGGATTCCTGAATTCAAGATGGCTTTTAAAATTAATAAATTAAAATATTTCTTCTTTTTAAATGACTCTTTTATCTCTGTGGGTTGAAGGATAGAATGAAGTAATGCTGATTTAAATAAGAAATAAATATAGATATTTTAATAGGATTATAAATTAAAAAAAAAACTTTTATAAAATGATTCAAAGTAAGCTATCAGCAAAATGACTCAAAATAAGCTGTTAAAAAATTCAAAATAGATAATAGTTTATAGTTATAATCATCCCTCCCAGGCCCTCCATAATCTTCACTGAAATATATTTTGTCCCTATGTTACTTTTGAAAAAGCACAAATAATGATATAAAAATTTTATATGTTCAAATTCTGAACTTGTGGGAAATCATAATTTTTTAATTAATTAAAATTTTATTTTCAAAGGACATTAAAAAGAGCCTCCTTTTGGCAGAAAATTACCCTAAAAAATATCTGCTGTTTAGAAATGTCGAGACAATGGGCAATATATTTTCCATCAACTATTAATAAGCCATTCCCATTAAACATAAAAATTTAAACCAACAAAAGCTTCTATTTTTACATAATTTTTTGGTTAACCTCTTGGCTGCTAAGCAACAGAGAACATTTGTCAATCATTCATGTTATGGTTATCGTAAATTACTCTTGTTTGTGGTGAATTATTTTGTTTATTTTTTTTTCTTCAGAATATTGTCATAAATATATATCTTTCTTGTACTCTAATTATGACCTAAATTTTTTGTGACTTTTGTCTATCCCCTATTTCTCAAGGGTTAGGAATCCAAATCTGTAAAAGAAAAAAAAAAGCATATTTGGTGTCATTAATTCTTTAATGCATAAGTTTTATTCAGGTGGATATTTTTTTCTTTTTACGCCATGTACATGTCTACAGTCTATATATGCATACGTAGACTTAATGTTGTACGTTGATTATCTTGATATTTATATTTTTTTATGCTATAGGTTTTGTTATAGGTAAAACTGAATGTTTAACGAATGTAAAAGGTTTAGCAAATGTAAAGCTGAATGTAGAAATGAATAACGAAATGGTAATATGATATGTAGAGAAAATATATGTTATATCACAAAAGTTAATCCGAATAGTTGACATAGCAGGATATTAATCCAACACAATCCTTAGAGAATTAAAATTGAGATTAATGCAAAATAATTTTTTTAGTGTTACTTTATTCTTTCAGAATATAACTTTGGGTGCTACTTCATTATCAACATTTGGTCCTTTCGGAGCTCTTGTAGAAGTCATACTAATATTGTATCCTTTGAAAAATTTTATTGAATGTTTAAAGAAAAACGAAGTAATTCTTTAATTTTAATTTACATTTATGTTTTGGAACTTATTAAGAAATTGTCAAGAAATGAAATGAATTTTGAAATTATTTTTATTAAATTAGTTGAATTAATGTGAAGTTGCATTTATTTTATTAAATTATTCGTTAAATTTATAAGTGTTCTTGGCTCTAATGTCATGGTGAGTTTAGTTAATTTCAGATCACATATTTAGCACTGTCCTAGGAAACAGATGGCAGTGCAAATTCTATTCTTTCAGAAGCCTGTAAAAATATTGTGTTTGAAGCACCTTTAGTTCTTAAAAGTGGCTAACAAAGGCAAATTATATTGCAGGCACAAAACAATAGTATTTCTAGCAGCTCTATTTAGTTTCGTGAAATTGACTGAAATTAGGAAACTTTGAGTATTGAGCCGCGATGGCTCAGGGGATAGAGCGTTCGCCTTTCAATGAGATGAACCGGAGTTAAAGTTACTGTTGTTGAATGTTATCATTATCCAAGTGTTATGTAGAAATAATTCATATTAAGAATTAATATAAAGTTTAAAATTTACTTAGACAATTTATCAATATTAAAATACTGGTTTGATTTTCAGATCTAAAAACATTAGCATTATGATTTTTTAAGTAATTTTTGAATATGTATCCTAATGTTAATTAGTAAGTGTAGCATCCCATATCCGGACGTCCCTTTTCCGAAAGGGTCGATTTCCTGCACACATTTTAACAATCAAAATAAACATTTCTTTGTTTTCCCCTCTAAAAAAAAAGGGGGGTCTTTTGACACGTTTCATCCTTGCCTAGCTTCTAGTGATTTATGCATTGAACCCATAAATCAACAGAAAGGGGAACAGAAGATCTACCAAGACCTTGCCCTTAGTGATGCTCCTCCTCTAGAATGCAGGAAAGGGGTGAGATTTGTTTTCAAAAGAGCACAACTGAGTTCCCTCCCCTCTTCTCTCCTATGCAGCTGGCTAGTAAAAGAGGAATTTCCTGGAACCTTTTTATTAGAGTGTTAGGGAAAGAAGAAATACTGTGAAAAAGAGTAAACGCAGCAAATGTTAACGTGGAGGGGGAGTCACTTTCAGTCACACGGGAAAAAATAAAGAGAACCCAATCAACATGCCGCGCCTTTATGCTTGATTGATAACCAATGATCAGAGAGAAAATAAGAATTTGTCACTTCCCCGTCCTCATCTTGAATGACAAATAAGGAGGAAATGAATTTTTTTTCTCCACCTACCCACCTTAATGAATGATGGGAATTTCCCCTTCTTGCTTGAATCGTTCTAGTTCAAAATGGTGGAGAGAGCAATTAATATTTTTATAACTGTCAATTTTTTTTTCGTTTTCAATATTTATTTTTTTAATAGCAGTAATTATTATTTTTTCTAATATTTTGTTTTTGATTGATTAGATATCATTCTAATACTGAAACATTATTGCCCGAAAAATGTTTATTTATTTTTTGATTCTTAGATTCAGATTGTTTATTAGATCGTTTTAAACTTTGTTTACCTTGGGGGTCTATTATACGGAAAAATCTAATATCCGGTCTTTCTGACGTCCCACCGATTCCGGATACGCGACCTTCTACTGTATTGTATCCTTTCTTAAAATCGAGCCAAATTACCAATCTCTAATAAGATTTTATATTAATTCATGAGTCTGCATTATATAATCGGCAGATTTAAATTACCTACCATTAAAAATGCATGCACAGTACTGAAAAAAAAGAACCACCGTCCTAATCTATTTTTGATCTAATGATGGGATCTTCACATTCTAGGACTCTATCTCAATGGCTCAAGGGGGTGATCTCAAATACGCTAATTAATTAGTGCAGATGATATCTTAAGTTACTAAATCAGATACAAAAATGTACTTTCTCTAAACATACCTTTTTTGTTTGGACGGATTTGGAATTCTGACCTCCAAAATATAGGGGTTAGCCACAATCTGGGAAATAATGGACCAAATAGTTTACAGGGTTGCCACTCCACAGGGAGAACAGGGAAAGCCTGGAAAATACAGGGAATTTAAAAATTACCAAAAATAACAGGGAAAATGCAGGGAATTTTGATTTTTTCTTCACAAACTGGGAAAATACAGGGAATTTTTTTTGTTATTTTTGATTTTTAAGAAATGGAGGCCACTCAAAGCGTAATCTATGGGATATTTAAGGAAGATATTTCAGCTATACTTACTATTTCATTTACTACAGCATTATTTAAGTATGTCGTGCTTTTTTCTAGCAATTAAAACTAATAAATATAGTTAGCCCAATATGGATCACACAAGAGCACAGTAATTGTTGTTTCCGCTTAACATTACGGCGACTGAACTTAACTTAATCGTAACCGCGACAGTTACGATCAGTAACTGTCTCTGTCATTCACCAGAAGAATCCTAACTGCCATTGTAGAATGACGCGCATGGTGTTTCATATTTTCTCTTCTTATACTTAATACTTAAAATGTTAAATAAATACTAATTAAATTGTAGACTCAATCTATTCATCTCCTGGACACAACCAACCACCACAATATATTGCACATAATATCTACAGGGAAAACACAGGAATTTTTTTTTCCAGATTTGAGTGGCAACCCTGGTTTAGTCAGGAAAGGGGTCCAAAGTCAGGACCCCTTAATGTTAATTTAACTTTTTGCGTATTTCGCTATATCTTGAAAACTTTTTAAGCAAATTTAAAGTTTTTTTGCACACAATTATAAAATATGTTTGTCAAAACATAATTCCAATCAAAAAACAAATTTTTGTGAATATTTATGATATTTTTTATTTAATAATAATTAAAAAAATGAATTGTAAGGTATAAAAGGTATTAAGGGTAGTATTTTTGTAAAATAATAATAATTGTAAGGTATTAAAGGTTAAGTGTTGTAAGGTATGCAAGCTTGTAATTTTGTATGGCAAAATACGAAAATTGAGCAAAATCGATTGAATGGTTCCTGAGAAATTGAATTTTAAAAGAGTTGGTTATTTAAAATTCGATTTCTCAGGAACTATTCAACTGATTTTAGTCAAATTTTATATTTTGCCATTTAAAATTACGTACTTTAAAATGATGCAAAAATTTTATACCTTACATTTAAAAAATTTTCTAATATTACTAAATAAAATACAGTGTAACGTCCCATATCCGGACGTCCCTTTTCCGGAAGGGTCGATTTCCCGGACACTTCTTAACAATCAAAATAAACAAACATTTCTTTATCTTCCCCTCTCCTTTAAAAAAAAAGAAAAAAAACGAAGTCTTGACAGGTTTTTCCCCTTTTCAGCTTCTAGAGATCTATGCATTGAACCCATAAATCAACAGAAAAGAGAACAGCAGATCTACTATGACCATGACGCTCCTCCTCTGGAATGCAGAAAAGGGGGGAGGGGGAGATTTGTTTTCAAAAGAGCACAACTGAGTCCCCTCCCTCCCCCTTTTTTCCTATGCAGCTGGCTAGTAAAATAGGCATTTCCTGGAACCTTTTTATTTGAGTGTCAGGGGAAGAAGAAATACTGTGAAAAAGGGTAAACACAGCAAATGTTAAAGTGGAGGGGGAATCCCCTTTAGTAACACAAGAAAAAATAAAGAGAACCCAATCAGCATGCCACGCCTTTATGCTTTCTTGATAGCCAATGATGGGAGAGAAAATAAGAATTTGTCACTACCCCGCCCTCAACTTGAATAACAAGTAAGGAGGAATTGAATTTTTCTTCTACACATACCCACCTTAATGAATGACGGAAATTTCCCCTTCTTGCTTGATTCGTTCTAGTTCAAAATGGCGGAGAGAGCAATTAATATTTTCATAACTGAATTTTTTTTGTTTTCTATATTTATATTTAAAATAGCAATAATTATTTTTTTCTAATATTTTGTTTATGATTGATTAGATATTCTAATACAAAATCATTATTGCCCGAAAAATAATGTTTATTTATTTTCTTCTTCTTAGATTCAGATCATTTTAAGCTTTGTTTACCTTGGAGGTCAATTATACGGAAAAATCAAATATACGGACTTCGGGAAGTCCCGCCGATTCCGGAAATGCGACTTTCCCCTGTAATAGAAAATAATAAATATTTACAAAAATATAATTTTTACATGAAATTTATTTTGGACAAACACACTTCATAACTGTGTGCAAAATTTTTTCTATTTGTTTAAAAAGTTCACAAAGAAGAAATACACAAAAAATCAAATTAACATTAAGGGGTTTAAGTTTTGGACCCCTTTCCTGAGAAAACTTTTTGGACCATATCTTCCAGATCATGGCTATCCCCTTAATTTGATGAGAAGGGATCCCTTTTTTTTGCATGTCAAAACGAAATTTTTTAACTGCATGTGTATTGGCAATCGAGTGTAAAGTCATCTAGTTACCAACAAATTCATTATTGATAGAAAGTTTAAGTTGTCATAACAGGAATTGAATTATTCAAAAATGAAATTTGGCACCTTGTTCAGAATTTTTGAGTTTTATGTTTTGTTCGGTAGGTTTTACTTAACCTTCACACTCGCTCACAGACAAATATAATGTTTCTATGTTTTATGAAAATAATAGTTCCAACTACAATAAACAATAATTTTTGTTTGTGATGTATAATCAAATCATAATAATTTTGATTATAGCATCTAAGTTTTAGATGTAACATTATTTAAAAAAAAGGTTTAAAAATGTATTTGGATTTTATTTTTATTTATTAACAATAATTCAAATGATTTTTTGTTATTCATGAGTGTGTCCTATTGTTTTTCTTGATTTCCTAATTATTAGATATCTTTGGTCTGCATCTATTGTTGGCTTATATTCTTTACCTCTGTTTCATTATTTGAGGCCACAAATTTATAATACATCTATGACTCAGATCATGGGAAACTGTGCTTTATTGTTGGTATTAAGTTCAGCTTTACCAGTATTGGCTCGAAGTATAGGTATGAAATAGATTTAAATTGATGTACATAAATATTATTCATTATTTGCTCAAATTCTGAACTCATTTTTATTTTTAATAGGTCTTACAGATTTTGATCTTATGGGTGATTTTGGACGAATTAATTGGTTGGGAAACTTCTATATCGTGCTGTTTCATAATGTTGTTTTCTCTGTAACAGCTATTTTGTGTTTGGGAACACAGATAACTGCTGCTGTTCGTGCAGAACTTTATAATAGAGTGCGCAAAATATGCCCCATGATGAGTCCTTGTCCATAATGATGCTGTAATTTGAATCAGGTTACCTGCTATTATAAGTGTGTTGCATTAAGTTATAATTATTATAAAACGTCTCAATTACAGATTTATAAGGAAAAATTCTTTTTTTTATGAATATAAGAGTTAATGATAATAGAAATTAAATTTCTTTTGGCTAAATAATTCTATATCTTTTTGACTAAAAATGATAGAGCTAAAATAATATTTACTTGTTTATTCTTGTTGTTGTTCAATTACAGTAGAATTTGAGAAAAAAAACCTACAGACATTTTATGTTTTAAAGTACAAAGTTTTTTACTAAATGACTATAGTGGTTATTTTTTCATGTTATAGCTTTTTTTCCTTCAAATTGCTTAAGTTTATTTTGGCTAACTCTGCAGTATTTCTGAAAAAACTATTTTGATTTCGTATTGAGACTTTATTCAACCATGTCATCGCGAAACTTTCTAGTCCAAGGAAAATGTCCATTATATTTTTATTATTTATTCCTGATTGATTGTTACATTATTTAAATAATATTTACACAATATTATGAAGCCTTAATTTTGCTTTATTTTATCTCGTTTTTAGTATCATAATTAGCTTAAAACCTGCTGGTAACCTGATTAACAGACACACTATTTTGTTATTAATTTTTTTAGTCTCTTTAACCATCTATCTCCTATAGTGCTGTGATAAAAAAATTGATATGTAATGTTTACTTTGTTTATATTCATTATTATGTTAAATGTATAGTTGCAGTTAATTAAGTTATTTTTATAGTGTTTTAATATAAACAAAAACCTTGTTCTTTTAATTGTTTTTCGAAAAGATAAAATTTAAGCATTAATCCTGCTCATGATTATAAATTATCTTTGACTAAGAAGTAGTTTCTTTATGGGGGGATTTATAATTGTGTCTAAGATTAATTTCATAGTGGTAACTCTAAATTTTAGATTAATGAAGTATTTCTCTTACCAAAAAAGAGAAAATATTTATATCTACTACAGTAAAGAACCAACTATCCGGGATGCTTGGAACCATCGCTGTCTCGGAGGTCCTGGTTTTCTGGATCAGCCAAAAGTGTCGTTAATCAATGTTTTATCAAACCCAACTTACAATGATAAAAAGTTACACATTTAAAATAGGAAAAGAAAAGAAATGAAGCTCTCTTATTTTTAAAACAAAATGTTTGAAAAATAACATTTAAAGGAATAAAGGCATTTACAAGTTTAGACAAGAAAAACAAGTTTAAAAAAACACGAAATTCACATATTTATTTTTTGAGGAGAATAAAGTCACCAAATCTCGCTTTTCCTAAAAGTAACCGAGGCTTATGAATCCATCATTTTACTTTCCAACAATATTGTTGTTTAATTTCTGAATTTTCATTCCAGATTCTTAATTTAACGGGATCCGAGTTTCAAAAAAGATTCATACTTTTTTTTTATTTTATTTCGTTTTTATTTTTAAAGCATCATGTTCTTATGAAGAGTGGCAAAACTTTGTCTCATTTTTAACTAAATGCTATAAATTTTTTTTCTTATTGAATCCACTTTTTTAAATAATGCGTTAAAAGAACTAACTACCTACTTAAATTTGGATTCATTTAATTTGTACCAATATTGAAAAATTTTTCAGTTTATTTCAATGAATTATGAATTTTAGTAGCAGTCCGTTAAAAACTTGATATTTTTTGTATTTCCCCCCCCCCCACTAGNTTTCAAAATATTTACTCTTTATGCTCTGACTTACAATTTACTAAATTCTTCTGATTATTTTTTAAATGATTAAATTCAGCTTAACAATATTCGTACTTTATTATTAAATAAAAAATAGCCATATTTAAATCGTTTTCGTATTCAAATTAATATTTTGCATTCCAATTTTTTTACTTTTTCTTAATAAACTATAGGGATTATTTTTCTTTCGTCCTCTGTTCAGTGATATGCACGTGTAATGCATTTCCTCCTCCTCGTAAATTAAAGAGAAAACAAAATCAGCATGCCAATCCTTTATGTTTGATTGACGGTAATTTATCAGAAAAACAATTCCTTCAAACATGGAATAAAACATTTGTCCCTTCCCGGCCCCCTCTCGCCCTAACGATCTTCATGGTCATGAAAAAAATACTGAAGTTTTCTCTTGACAAACGGGGAGAAATACACCCCCTGCACGCAGTTTTCTCTACTCGACTTCAAGGATGAGTCAAATTTCTGCTTTTTTACTCGTTCATTCTAATTCAAAATGGCGGGAAAACCAAACAAATTTTTTCCCAGTTTTCTGAATACCGGATAAATGGTTCTGTATTGTATTACCTGAACATTTCTCACAAATAAACAATTATTGGTGTAGTTTATTAATAAAGATGAAATTTTTTGAATGAAACCTAAGCGTAATAATTAAAGTAGTTTTACAATTTTATATAAATTTTTTACTTGTTAGTAGTTACGTTACATATGTATCAAGTAGTAACAACTTTTTCTGTTAAATATTTTTTGAAATAATTTTAGTATCTCATTCTTTTTAGTTTTAATATCATTGCCATACTGATTATATTTAACAAATATTATACATATTTCCCAAGTTTTAGCTCCCTTACTTTATTAAATATAATTTTAGTCCAATGTTAAGATAGAATTTATTTTGTTGATTATTACATGCTAAATTACATTTTTAAGTGATAACACATTAAACACTAAATTGTTATGCTGACTTTGTTTGAAAAAAAATCAGTAAATATTTTTTAAAAGTTTTAAACTTGTGATTTTTTACAAACATAATCTTTACATGTAAATATATCTATTTTCTCTTATACATTATGAACTTATACCTTTTACATACAACTTTTATACATAAATATTGATGTTTACTCCTATTCATTTTGTAATATAACTAAATAAACTAAACTAAATGAATTACATTTAATTCAATGATCATCTGATGATCATATTGAATATGTTTGACAAAATTTGTAGAATTTTTAAAAATTCCAGTTTTTCTCTAAACTAAATATAATTTTAGTGTAAATTATATTTTAGCTATTGAAATATGAAATTACTTTTATTATAACATCAGAACTATATTTCACTTGACATTATGATTATAAATACATCCCTCAACATATACTTTTTATACATAAAAATAAATATTATTTTCTATTTATTCTGTATAATAAATGAATTTACACTTTGTTCAATGGTTATTTGGTTGTCATACTGATACAAAAATTAGTAATTATTTTTTAAATTTCAACTTTTCACTTTATTAAGTATGGTTTTAATGTAAATTATTTTTTAACCATTTAAATAAGTATTTGCTCTTACTATAACTTTGTTCCTAATTTTACTTCACGACTACTTTAGGGAAATTTATTTTGTATGTGTAAATCAGAATTTATCATGAGCAGAGTTATACAAGAATAAGTTCTGAAAACAAACTTATCGGTTTAAGGCATTCTACTTTTTTTGCTAAAAATAGTTATAAGAAAAAAATTATTCTGATTTTTATAAATGTAATATATTTTTATTTTATTTTAGCATAAAAAAAGACTAAGTAAATAAAAAATAGTTTAATAAAGAATTTGCAGAGTAGCAACTATATGATTATGTTCCAAATATGTAAACTAGTATATATTTAAGTAATATGCTTTATTTATTGTCGTAAAATGTGTTTTTCAGTTATGTGTTAAATTTTTTTAGTATAGTTTCAAAATATTTACTCTCTATATCTATATTAATGTCTACATTCCTTATTCTGCTATTGCTCAAAGGACTTGGTAATAAGGGGTAATAAAACGAGCTTTCTAAGTGTCAAAGTACAATTTCAGGTCTTTCAAAGCTGTGATTGTTTTGATATGTGTTATATAGTCACAGTTTACACATATCAATCTCACTGTAAAAAAAAGACATTCGTTATTCACTATGTATATACTCGTGTTGCAAATCATTTGCATTAATACAGTTAGTCATGTGATTCATATCCAAAGTCACTTATACTGATTTAAAAGAGTCAGTATTATTTATTTCCATTTATTTATTCATTTGATGAATTAATAATTTTTGCAATTAAATATTATCTTCTATTATTCCTGTGTAAAATATATTTTAATGTGTAAAATGTTATTTTTTTCTATTTTGTATTTGTTTTCATAATTTATAAGATCTCCTAGTGTATTTTTTTGTTCTGTTAGTTTGATGTGATAAAGGATTTTGTAATGCATTCACTGTTTTGTTATTTTTATTGAACAAGATTGGCATTTATAATTTATTATGTTAGAAATGTTTAAGCAACTTGTTTTTTCCCTTTTCTTTTTATTAAATTGAGAGTTCAAATTTATTCAACTTAATATATTCTGCTTTTTTATTTAAAATATATCAAGTTGTGAGGATTTGTAACTTTTATAAGGTTGAGTATGTTGGAATTAACTACTAATGTGGCTTTTAGTATTTCACTTTTGTGTGATAGAAAAACGAGATTTGAACAATTTTTTAATCTAGTATATTTCGATTTGATCTGAAAAGCAACAATTTTGATCTATTCAAACTAAATGTGAGTTAATACTTTATCATTTTTGCTAAGAATGGCACATTATTATAGAGGTGTCACCTTCTAGATTGCTTTTGAAATTTTCTTGAGTTTTTATTCCATTATTTATATATTTTTTAAAATTATTATTCATTTTAATTATATAAATGAAAGATTTTGCATGCCTTGTTTTTTTTTTTCAAGTATTTTTCAGAACTTTATAACTTTTAAGCTTTTTTTGCATTAGTAATGTACACAGGTGAGTTTTTTTTTATAACTCTATGCATCATTTTTCTAGCAAATAATGTTGTCAAAAATTACTTTGTTACATAGGAAAAGGAAATTAAATTGTGAAAAAGATAAAGGTCAAATGCTAATTTTATTTATGTGTTAATTTACAAATTTCGAGAGGAAGATAAAATTTTTTTTCTTACATTTAGATTACTCATCTTTTAAAACAGTGCTAATTGTTTCTTATATTCAGACCAATTCGGAAAGTAGGAGAATTGAAATGTTAAAATTTTTCTAAAAAATTTCAAATTGAAAATTTTTTGCAAAATGTTCCAGACATTTTTTACTGGATTTCAAATTATTTTAATCCAGATGAATGCTGGTTGAAAAGGTTTATTTTTATTAAAATTTTATTAACAGGAGCAAGATAAGGCAAATATTGTTATCATAGTTTTTTGAGGGCTGGCAAAAATCATAATTTTTTTTTTAAATGAATAAAAAAATTAGATTTGCTTTATTAAGATTGGATTTTTTAAAAATTTAAATGTGATTTTATTTATTTGCTTTTTTTAACATTAAGCAGCATAAAATATACTAATAATATAGCTAAAATAATTAAATATTTCTAACTAAAATTATTATTTTCATATAAGAAATTTATTATTGAATAAAACAATCTTTGTTTTTTTTTTCAAGCTAACGTCTTGAAATTTTAAAGCTAAGGAGTCAGTCAGTTTTATATCCAATTAAGAGTAAACTAAATTAGTTTAGATCAGAAGACATTAATGAAAAAATTTATTAAAAGTTTCTATGATCTTCCTTCATTATTGATTTATTTTAACTAAATATTTAATTAGTTGTAAAAGCACTTGTATTTTAATAAGCATAAAACTAAATTGGTATAGTTAAAATATGTATATTACCAATAAATTATTTTATATACAGCTAATGGAAAAGTATAATGTGAAAGTTTCGCATCACTCTTTTCCACTTTTGGTCTCTTTTATTTATTACTCTATTATGAAATATAATTCCGTTTCATTATTTCTTTGAATAGAAACATTATCAATGAAATCGGACTTAAAAAATATCAAAACTTAAAGAACATATTTATGAGCAATATTGTATAAAAATATTTTCAATTTAACCATTTATTTTAAAAATATCAATAATATTAAAGCAAGGATTTTTAAAAAAAATAAGTTCAGTCATTTAAAAAAAAAATGAAACAATTTAAATCACCGTGATTTTCATCATGTTTTAAATCACGACAACCCTGGTTTTCTAAACTGATCTATAAAGCTAATAATGTTTTCGCTGTCTTCATTTTCCTTTTTTAAATGTCAT